TGAGGGGTCAGGCTGGGTGAATGGGACCCTTGTCACTGGTAGGGACTGGAGGTATGGGCAAGTGTGGGATGTGTGGAGACAGAAGGGTCCCAGCATAGGAGCAGGATGAGGAAGGGCAGGGGGCCAGGAGGCATATGCGAGAAGAGTGGGGAGTTGGCTGAAGCAGGGAGAGTCAGGAGGGAACCAGATGCGGGGCCTCTGGGGTCATGTGGGGAGGGGACTGTGGGTTGGACTTGGTAGGGGCCGCAGAGTTGGGGAGGGGCTTGTGAGCAGGAGAGTGGGTAGGTCAGAGTTGTATTTTGGGAGGGTCACGTGGCGGTGGTGGGTTGGATGATTGGAACTCAAAGAGTCACATAAATTAGCCTTTTGATTATAATTCCTTTCGAGCCTTGAAGCTGAATTCTGAGCCCTTCAGCCTCTTTTAATCTGAGAAAGAGGTGGTCTCTTCTAGAGGCGCTTTCCGCTTCTTACAGCCAGGCGCTCTCTCTGCTACTCCCCAGCAGAGGTTGGTTTTAACCAAGGCAAAGATAGGATGGATTTTCTTGACCACACTGGCTTGGAGCTACGTCTCCTGCCTCCTACTAGTTTTCAGAACATTTACTGCTCTGGACGCTCCTGACAGCCCTGAGGCCTCCCCCTGCAGAGAGGAGACACTGCCATCCAGGGAAGGGGTTGACTAGTAAGAGTTTCGCTGCTCCACTTGGGGCGCTCCGGTTGCTAAGGGCAACGACCCTCCCTCCGCGGAAAGGAGGTGGGGGCGGGGCCAGCGGGGCTCCCTCCCCGCCGCGTTGCCTTGGAGACCAAGCGTGTCCTGCTGCAGTTGAGGCTGGACGGGCCCTGGCTGACTTGCGTGGTGCTTTCTGCAGGTGGGGGCGCGGCCGGGCCCCTGCGCGCAGGCCCTCCCTCCACTTGGCGGGGCTTAGAGGGGATGTCCAGGCGCTGCCTCCTCCTTGGTGGGCTGGGGGAGGGGGTGCATGAGAGGAACCTGCAGGTCTTCTCAGCACACAGTAGGTGCCTAATTAGGGTGGCCAGAGTCAGTCTGGTCCCTCCCTCCACTTCCCTCTCCCTGTGTCCGCTGGGGCGGGGAGGGCGTCGGGGGTCCTTGAACTGTGTTCAGCGCCAGGTCGGGGGTCCAAAATCTCCGGGTTGAAATCCCAGCTGACACCTTGGACGGGTGGACTTTTCCCAGAAGAGCCTGGGAGAGTGAAGCACAAAACAATAACCATTTATTATTCTTCACCCCCAAAGTCCCTCTCGGGTTTGCGCCCTGCGCGGCTGGGAGAGCCCGCCTTCTCCTCGACTTCGGTTCTTGCTTGAGGTTTGTTTCCTTTCTGCTTCTTCGCCCCCTCCGTTGTTCTTCTTTTTGTTTAAAATAAAAACCCTGAGGCCAGAGAGAGGCCCCGATGCTTTGTCCCAGAGCAGAGGAGTCTCGGCCTGGTTTCTCAACCTCCGGATCGGAATAGAGGCCAAACCCCAGACATGATTCCTGGACAATGGCTTCCCAGCAGGGGCGTCCAGCCTGCGGCCAAGATGTCCCCAGTGGGGAAGATGACCCAGGTCCCGAGCAGGAATGTCTACCAGCAGATCTTCGAGGCTGAGGTAGGCCTGACCCTCTGTCCCCCCTTCTCCTGCTCCCCCTTCCCTCTGCTCCCCAAACTTCCCTCCCTCTCAAGGCTTCCTTACCTGGAAATCTAATGAAATAGGGCTTTGAAATTGCTTTGATTTTAAAAATAATTCTTATTGATTCTTAAAATGTAGGAATACAAAATTAGAATGTCTATTCTTGAAAGTTAGAGAATTTAAATTAAAATTTTAAACTACATTAAATTTAAATTTAAATTACTCAGAAATAGATGGAATTAACCATTGGATGCCCTGGGTGTTTTTCCTGTGCATTAAGGCATTTCTGATTTTTTTACTTAAAAACTGGGTTTGATTCTATACTAGTGTTCATTTGAAACCTGCTTTACCTGTTCACAGTATCTCATGTACCCGGGCATTCATGTAGTTCATGAATGTGGCTGCCTGGGACTTCCCGTATGTGTTAAAGTAACGCCCTCTTGACAACCATATATGTTGTTGGAATTGCCTTGTCGCCTATAAAAAACTGCACAGACAAAAATGATATCTTAAAGACACACTCACACCCTTCCTTTGAAGTGCTGTAGGGCTTCTTTGAAAGGGACTTTCATTCCTACTTTGAGCCCTAAGTAATGCTCTCTGTGGAAGGCTTGGAAATTACAAAAGTGTAAAAAGACCACAGAAACTGATTACTCACATGATCCTGCTCCCTGGAAGCAACACAACGTTCTCAACATTGGGCATATTTTCTCCCAGTCATTTTTCTATACATTAAATTTTGAGATCATACTTTATAATTTTAGTTATAATTTTTAATTTATGCTTTTAGTTGATATGCTTGATGGTGTGTCATATCATAAGCATTTTCCTTTGTCCTAAAAAATCCTTTCCAGTCTCATGTTTAATAAATGCCTAACATTCCATTGAAGAGACACACATGTTTACTCAACCAATCCCTTGATTTGGACAGTTCCATTTTTCCAATTCCTTGTGATTATAAAAAATGCTGGGATGAGCATCTTGGTCCTCATTAAAATTTCTGAGATGCCTTCCTAGGAGTGGCTGAATGACTGTTCTGGGGAGTGTGTGTGCCCAGGAGGGGTGTGCCCTGGGGTTGAAGGCCCCCTGCGTAGCGCCTTCCTGCTGGCAGGGTCCCACATGACCTTCTGAGACTGCGCAGTCAGCCTGAGGGTGCAGGGAGTCTGCAGCTCCGACCCCCAGCCCAGACCTTCCTCCATGGATTCAGGTGCAGCTGGTCCGCTCCCTGGCGGCCACCAGGCAGCGGGCTGTGGAGTGTTCCCTGTCCCCGAAGAATGGCAGGAAGCCCTTGATGAAGAGGGTGGATATTCCTGAGGGGGAGATGATGTCTCCGCGGCAGCAGAAGTGGGTGCACAGCCTACCCAATGACTGGGTCACGGAAAACCCTGTTCTCTACAGGTAGGTCCTGCTGTCCAGGCCGCACCCCGACACACTGGGGGGTGTCAGAGTCTTCAGAAGCTCAAACAGAGCTCACCCAAGGTGAGGGCCAGGTAGGAATGAAGTCCCAGTTGCCTCCCCTGGAAGAGGGAGGTCATGACACCTCCTGTGCAGGCCTGTTTGCTTCTCCGTCCCTTCCTCCCTGTCCCCCACCCTCCATAATTATTGACTGAGTGCCTGGGACCAGCACTGGGCGTGGGGCCCCCACCCTCCTGGAACTCGAGGCCTGGACAGTTAATAAGTAAGCAGGTCCCCCCAGAGGTAGGAAGGCTCTGACACAAAGGGCGGGGCGGTGGGACAGAAGTCTGGGAAGCTCTCTGAGGAGGGGCCTCAGCTGAGACCGGAGGATGAGGGAAGGCTCTGAGGCAGGACAGGCTTGGTCCACTCCAGAAGGCTGAAGAGTCACCGGGCTTGGGGAGAGGGGTTGGAGATGAGGCGAGGAGAGGCTTGCCGGCCACGGTCAGTAGTTTGGACTTTAGTGAAGTGAGCAGCTGATCTGCATGTTGAAGGCCTTCCGGCTGCCGTGTGCAGAATGTGGGAGCTGCACGAAGACGCACGGAGGCCAGGGCGGAGCCACCGCAGTCCATGTAAGCTTGAGGGGGCTGCGGAGGGAGAGTAGGGGCTTCGGGTGTATTTTGGAGGCAGAACCCAGGTGTATTCAGGTGTATTTTAGAGGCAGAACCCACGGGACCACGTGATGGATTGGATGTGAGGAGAGGGCTCCTGAGGGTCCTAGGTCTCTGGCGCGAGTGCTTGGATGGACAGTGGAGGCACCATTACCTGAGATGGGGCAGATGGGGTGGGGCAGGGAGAATAGGAGTTCCTTCTGAACTTCCAAGTTCAGAAGTTGAATTTGAGACTCTTGAGCATGTCCCAGTCCCCTCTCAGCTGACCTGTTCTCATCCAGGCCCCAGGTCTCCCGACATCTCCCTGTGCCTCCCGAGAGTCCTCTATCCCCCAGGGTTTAGCCTAGGACCACCCATCATCTGATAACCGGATATAGCATCAGTCAGGAGCTCTTGGCACCCACAGGACACTGTTTTGGGAAAGGTACTTCTCGTGGAGGGCACTGGCACTGTGCTGGCTTCCTGGGACAGACAGACAAGGCCACTCTGCCCTGGATGCAGATCCAGAGCGCAACTCCCCACGACCTGTGGCAGGAACAGAGATGTGTTTGTAACCTGCCAGGCCCTACCACCCTCAAAATGACTGAGGTCTCTAACTCAGCACTGGTGTCTCTCTGGGGTGTCTTATCTCCTTCTTGAATTCGGCCAGCCAAAGCCAGTCAACTTGTGCGTTCATCCACGCAGGGCGGGGCCTCTGGGTGGTGAAAGAGGAGCCCAGGGTAGGGATGGATCACCACTAGCGTAAACCAAGCCCTGATGTCCCCAGAGCAAGTGGCTGATCAGCCAGAGCCACCGGCAGCTCCCGCGGTTGGGGCACCTGGGCTCCCGTGGCGCCGCCTTAGTCCAGGGGCATTTGGTTGACAGGCCGAAAGCCCCACCTCTGGAGGGTCAGCCTGGGCCCGTCAGCTGCCGCTCAGGCCCTGCAGTCTTCCTCGCCCTAGGTCTGCAGTGAGCACTACATAAGGAAATGTCTGGAAAGTGCTGTGCACGTCGGGGCCCCGAGGGATGGCAGGCGTCCCTGAGAACGGCTGCATTTCTGTGGTGCTTGCTCTGTGGACGGTGCTTTCAGGGGCTTTTATTCCAGAGTTAGGGTCGTGCTCACCCACCCTGTTCCTCCCTGCTGAGATAGTTTATCTGGGGTCCCAGCTCTCTCCTCCCACACCCAAACCCCGGGACCGTGCACCTTGGCGTCACATGTGTGGGTCTGGGAGTCCCTGGTTTGCTTTGTACAGTGACTTTTCTAAGCCCCCTTCCCCTGTCCTGAACAATGGGGTCACCCCGACTGCCTCATAGGATGGGTGGCTGAAGGAACAAATGAGGAGTATACTGAATGCTTAGTGCCAGGCTGGCTTTCCCAGGCTGCTCACACCCTTTCTGGTCCTCAGTTTCCACATGTGGAAAATGGCTCCTGCTCACTCCCCATACTTGGTTTGCAGCCTGAGCAGAAGCAAAGTCCCTGAGGGCAGGCCCGACTTCTTGTCTAGGGACTGTGGTGTCTGTTGGCAGCAGACACCCAGGCAGTGTTTGTTGGGAGACTGGCACAGCCTTGGGGCTCTAGAATCGGGTGGGCCTGGGCTATCGCCAATGCCCAGGGTCCCTCTGGAGACTCCCCGATGTGCCAGAGCTGTCCTGGGGAGGTGAGGGGGCTGGAGGCTTATTGTTCTCCTCTGCTTGTGCCTCAGGGAAAAGGAAACAACCAAGAAGGAAAAAGCCCAAGAGAGTGAGAGCACCATCGCTGCCCGAGAAGTCCGGGGCCTCGTGGACACCATCGGTGAGCCTCCATTCGTCCGTGAGGGCAGGCCTGGCCTGGGCCAGAAGGAGAGCCCTGTGGGCATCTCCTGGGAGCTCTAATGTAGAAGCACCTGAAGCTCCCACTGTGTTCTTCTGCTCAGCCACGTAGAGGGCCTTCTCCCCTGAGCCCTCTCCCCTCAGCGTTCTCCCCCTCGGCCTTCTTCCCTGGGCCTCCCCCCACCGAGCCTTCTCCCCTTGGCCTTCTCCCCTGAGCCCTCTCCCCTCAGCGTTCTCCCCCTCGGCCTTATTCCCTGGGCCTCCCCCCCGAGCCTTCTCCCCTGAGCCCTCTCCCCTCACCTTCTCTCCTGGGCCTTCTCCCTTCGGTTTTCTCCCCTGGGCCTTCTCCTCTCGGCCTTCTCCACTGGGCCTTCTCCCCTGAGCCCTCTCCCCTCACCTTCTCTCCTGGGCCTTCTCCCTTCGGTTTTCTCCCCTTGGCCTTCTCCTCTCGGCCTGCTCCTCAGTGCAGGGAGCTGGAGGCAGAGGAAGGGGCTGCCTGAACAGTTGGCATTTACTGATGAAAACCAGTTGGTAAAGGATAGAGGATTTCTCAGTCTATGTTTTGTTCCCTCATGCTACATTGTCCTAGTTTGACTTTGTCCCAATATGGAGGCTTTTTTTCTTTATGATAAAAAAGTAGTTCATGCTCACTGTAAAAAAACCAAGGTAGGCAATAAGCAGAAAGTAAAAACTCGCCCTCCACGATAGCACCCTCCTCCCAGGAGTGCCCCTCTGCCCCGTGAAACCAGGCAGTGTCCACCTTCTCACATAGATTTAGGGGACAGCAGTGCACAGGGTGAGATCTCAGACCCCAGAGCAGAGGTCCCTCGTCCAGAGCTCCACTCAGCTGACTGCCTTTGTTCCTTAAGCCCCATGCCTGAGTGTCCTCACCTGTAAAATGGGGCTGAGAACAGAACCTGCCTCTTGGCCCCGTCCTGAGGCGTAATCGAGTTAGAGCAACACCTGGTACGTGGTCGGTGCTATATAAGTGTTGTTTACTCTTGTTTGCGTATGGATTTGCTTCTATAAAGCTTTTTAACAACCATAAATGGCCCCATTCTATACATTGCCATATTGGAACTTTTTCCCGGCATTTAACTGTATGTGCAAGACTTCCTTCCATATAGCATTTATGGATCGCCTTTGTCTCTTCTCCTTTTCCTTGAGCCCCTGACACTGCTGGCATTTTCCACCTGTGCTGCCCTTCCCCGGGGGCCTCCCCTTGCCTTGGAGCTCTGAGGGCAACCTCATCACCTCTGTGGTTCTCCCCCAGTTCCTGAGAGGACCAGCACCGTCACCCTTCAGGGGCGAAGAGACTACAAGAGGAGGGGCTCCGAGAGCGCTCTGGGGAGCCTTAAGGAGGAGATCGCTCAGATTGGGATGGTGAGAACCCTCCCTCTCTCTCCCCTTCTGTTCTGGGCCATTCCGAAGGTGGGCTCGTCACTGCATCCACCCTGCCTTTCCCCCCAGCTCAGAGGTCCAGTGGCTCACCACGGTGTAGATGGAACTGTAGCAGCCACGTTTGAGTGGCTTGTTATGAGTGCGTGTTATGAGCATAGCCCTGTAAGTCAGGTACTGTTATCACCCCCGTCTTACAGGGGAGACCCAGAAAGTCTTGCCTGACTTGGTACATAAGGGGCCCAGTGGGAACTGGCCTCCAGGTCTGACGTCAAAGCCCAGCCTTTGATCTCCCTGCTCAGTCCGACTCGTGAGGGGCCAAATGGCCCGGTCCTAAGGCATCACCCTCACTTGGCTCCCTGTTCCTCTCCAGAGACGTCATCTCTAACCCCACTGGTGCCGGAATGTTCCCTAAATGAGACCCTTCTTGCCCGTCCGGGTCCTCTCTGAGCCCCAGATTGCACTCGCCACTTTCTCCAGAGTCTTCCCTGACTCACATCGTTCCTCTAGATTCTTGGAGCTGGCTCTGTACTCACAGCATCTGCCCTACCAGCGCATCGCTTTCCTGACGCGTCCCAGCTGGACGTGAGCTCTGCGGCTCCAGCCACACGGCCTAACAGAGCCTCAGTCTCCTCTTCTGCAGTAAACTTGGCGTTCTTTCACTGGCCGTTTCTTTAATGAATATTGTCGAGCCCCAACCTTGGGCCAGGCCTAATGGCAGCACCGCCGTCACAGGCTGTGATGAGGACCAAGCCAGTCAGGACGAGGGCTCAGCAGAGAGTGAGCGCCAGCACGTGGCACGAGCTCCAACTGGTGGCTGCTTTTGTGCTCTGCTTGTGAGCTAATTAGTGAATCTTAACTGTGAACTAATTAGTGAATCTTAACTGTGAACTAATTAGTAAATCTTAACTGTGAACTAATTAGTAAATCTTAAATAATAACGGTTGTTATTTCTGAGACAGGACCACGGCCGGCACTTCCCCGTTACAGGGGGTCTCCCTCCTGCCCCGGCCTGTCACACCATAGCCCTCGCCCTCCTGTCCTGTTTTAGGAAATGGAACCTCTCATCTTGGAGCCAGGGGCACTTCTTTTAAAAGAGCTGGCTGAGTCTGACGAAGACATCGACAGTCTCTTCAGAAAAGCAGAAAATGACAACAACCTCGAAGACTGCACCATCCAAGTAGGGGACCCCTCGTGGCCGGGCTTGCCCCTCCCGGGTCCTGCTCCTTCTCTCCCTGCCATCTGTCCTCCCAGCCTGACCCGGATTCTGGCGCAGACCCTGCTGGAGCTGTGGGATCAGGTGGCCGAGAGGTTCCTGCTCCAGAAGCAGGGGATTCAGAAGCTGGATGAGACCCTGCTCTTGCTTGAGTCCTCCCGGGCAGACAAGGTGAGTTGGCCTGCAGATGGCTTCTTGGTGATGGTCACTTGTAGGGTTTATGAGGCCTCCTCTGTTTCCTTTTAGTTCTCCAGGAAAAGAGAGAGTCACTAACTATGGCGCCTTGTTGTTTCCAGCTAAAAAGCGTGTTGAAGAAATATGTGGACATCATGGAGAAAACTTCCTATCTCATGCAGCCCGACGTGTACAGGCTGATAAATAAAGAAGCCATGGTGAGCAGTTTTCACGTGCAGGGGGTCAGCCCACAGGAGTAGCCTGGCGACTCAGAAATGATGAGCTCTTCATACATAACATTTCCAAGTGACTCAGGTTGGCCACTTAGGTTCAGAACCAGAGTCTTGGTTAAGTATCTTCAACAGAAATCCTTCTAAAGTACATTCCATGCTTCCCTGCCCTCTTAATCCCAGTAAACCTAACACAGCGCCCTTGTTTGGAGCACTGATGGTTTTACGAGCGCCTGCTGGGCCGCGTCTCAGCTGCCGTGTGCAATGCGATAGGTGCTACACGGTGGAGGCGGCGTCTGCCAGCTGTCGTGGAGCCGGGGTGGTTTGTGCCCTCATAAGTGACCCCTGCCTGGTCTGTTTGTCTAGTTTTCCTGGTGGTTCTTGTCTCGGCTCCTGCTGGCTGTCAGTGTTGCTGAACCATGCCTGCCCCTAGCTCTGTCCTCACTGCTTCCCTATCCTCCCTAGCCTCCCCGAGCTGCTTTCTTTGGGATAAAAAGCAAGAAATTCAAGATTATTTATGATGTCTCCAAAGTCAGAGTTAAGCCTGACGCCTCTGCCGTGTGAAAGGATGCTTCTTTTGCTCCTCAGAGGTGCATTGTCTTGCGTGGACTTCCAGGTCCTGTGCAGAAAGCTGGGCTTGCCAGGCAGCAGGCCCCCCGGCAGCACACAGAATGAGAGGAGTCCGGCGTTCAGAACCAGAGATGGGCTCCAGCCCCGGTGTGTGCCTGGGGCTCCTGGACAGAGCACAGACGGGGAGTGGGCACAGACTCCCTCTGCCCTGCCCGGACAGGCAGCTCCTGAGATAACTCGGCCCCTGCACCTGGAACTCCCTGTCCAGGAAATGGGGCTAAGGATACCTATGCCAGGACTTGTTGGGAGGGTGATAAGAGGGCTCAGCAGTGGGAGCTCTCGTTTTGAGACCAGCGAGAGTTGCTGACTTTTATCCATTTGATCCATCTGGGGGGTCAGTTAGTCGGTGACCAGTGGTGAGTCAGTGTTTGACGTTCCTGTGCTTATTTGACTCGTCGTGACAACTGGCACTTGCTACTTGCTCCATGTGCATTAATCTCATTTCATTTCACAAAATCCCTGTGCTGTAAACAGCATTATCTTCACAGTAGGGCTGCGGAATTGGAGGTTCGGGAGATACTTGCCAGTGCCCCCTCCACTGCCATGCCAAGGGTGCCCAGGAGAGGACCAGTGGGAGGACTGCCAAAGAATGTTCTAGCTCTGGCCTCATTTGATAATTGGGTCCTGGTTCTCATCACAACCATATGTGGCTGCTCCCTGATGGCATGAGCACTCTGCTTTTGGAACAAATTCATATATATTAAAAAAAACCAGCTAAGCACTGAGAGCTTGTTACCGAACCAGGTGGGCTCACCTCCTGGTGAGTTAAATAAGACTCTACACCAGTGGAAGTTGTCTCACAAAGTAAAGTGTATCTGCAGCAAAAAGGAGGCCGTGATGAATCATTTCCAAAGTCATGGCGTCCTTGGACAAAGGGAAGCAGGGACCTTTTGTTTCGGTTGAGAAATGAATATTCAAAAGGGAGAGGTAGGTATCCGCTAGCGCAGGCTCCGTTGGAAGACATGCTTCCACATACACCGCAGGTTACAGTAATGAGGCCTAAGGGCCTCCTGGAGAGACCTTAGCTGTAAAGGTAAGGCGCAGGTCATGGGGTAGCTCCTGTGGTGAGGCTTGCTCGGTTTCAGGATGGCTGGTGGTTGCATCTCCTTAACATACAAAAGGAAAAAAACAACTTGGAGAAACAGTTAATTGCTTCCAAATCCACCCTTGAATTTCTCAAGGCGCCTTGTCGGTGACGAGCCCACTGGAGTGTTGAACTCCAGTGAACTAAAATCACCTTCTCTAACACACAGTCTGATGGGGCTGTGGAGCTGGGCTGAAGCTCACGTGGTCAGGGTTCCTGGTTAAGCCTTCAGGAAAGACTTGTCACTATCCATGGCTCTGAGCCCCAGTGACCCCTCAGTACTCCTCAGTCGCTGCCACTGCCCTGCTCGCCACTGCCCCGCTGGGCCCCAGGCCCTCGGCCTGCACCTCACCTGGCCCCTCTCCAGCCTCTCCTCGCCCCGCTCCGCCTGAGCCTTGGTCTGACCTTCGAGAACCCCCATCCCATCTAGAGCCTGCCCGCCTGTGACCGCAGGTCATAAACCACGCCCTGCTGGGCAACCAGAGGGCCGTCGCCCAGCTGTCTGTCCACCTGGCGGAGGCCACGCTGCAGCAGGAGCTCGAGAGCCGCCGCCGCTGGCAGGGCCTGGTCGGTGCCTGGAAGGCACTCAAGAAGGAGGCCCTGGTGCGGGGCTTCAGGTCGGTGGCTGCCCGCACTGCCCACAGCGAGGGGGGTGGCCCTCTCCTTCCCTGTTTGTCGTTACTGTGAAACGCTGTTGTTTTTCTGGTGGTAACACTAATATGTGCTCTGTTTTAAAAAGTTAGAATAGATAAAAGTATAAAGAAGAAATTAAAAGTCACCACTAATGCCTCGCCACAGTGAGAGGCACAGCTGATATTTTGGTATATTTTCTCCCAGGCTTTCTGAGACCCAGACTGCATATGTAGGTTTGTGTCTTATTTTCTTCATAAACATTATCGCATAAGCATTTTCTGAGCACAGTGCAAATTGTATAAAAACATTAGTCTGATTATCTGCCCACTTTCCACTCTTGACTATTACATGTAACCCTGTGTTGCTGGCCCGAGGAGCATGGCTGTCCCTCAGGCGTGGATACTTCCCACCCTCTGGTAGCAACTTTCACCCACGGGAGGGACGGTGAAGAGAATGCCGGTCTCCACGCTTCCCAGCTGGGGGCACTTTTGTTAATACTGACACGAGGGTCCTGCAGCTTTTGGCCAACAAACAAGACTTTCTTTTGCTAAGAAAGGGATACCTTGGGCCAAGATGTCTGAGGACACTAAAGAGTGTCTGTCCATCTGTGCCACGGGTCTGGGGGTGGAGGCCCACCTGTACATCTGCGTTTCCAGACGGGGAGCACCAGAGTCTGACACTGGGGATGAAGGAAAAGTCTGGAGACCTGGCTCCACCTGTACTTTCCCTGTGACCCTGATAAAGCGCTCGAACGTTTGGAGCCTTTCTCTCCCAATGCAAAGCAGGCACCGTGATGGACACGTGATAGGGTTTCAGCGATGGTCCGCAGTGATGGACACGTGATAGGGTTTCAGCGATTGTCCACAGGATGCCGTATGGAGAGTGCCTGGTCTGGGCCTGGGCCTGGGGTTGTCACAGATGTCAGGAATCATCGACGGTGATGGCAGGAGCCGCATTTACTGGGCGTTTCCCACGAGCCAGGCACGGTGCTCGGGGTTTTGCTTGTAATATCTTGCTGGGTCCTCACAGGTACCGAGTGAGGAAGGTACTATCCTTAGCTCCATTACAGAAGAGGAAACTGAGATTCAGAGGGGGCAGTGACTCGCCCAAGGTCACAGAGCTGGCAGGGGGCAGTCAGGACCCACACCTGGATCTGTGCCTGCAGGTCCCATGCTCTTAGCGCCAGAGCCTCCCTGGTGGTCCCTCCGTTCTTCTCTCCCCGCCCCTCCCTCCTTCTCTCTCTTCCCCCCTTTCCTCAGAGTCCCAGAGGCCCAGGATGGGGAGGGGTGCTGGGAGTGGTGTGAGGGTGCTGGGGTCTGAGTGCTCCTACACGGGTCTCATCCCCTCTCTCCCACCCGCCCTGCCCCTCCTCTCGTCTCCATGGTGCCAACGTGTCTGGCTGCCCAGTGAGTTCATGGCCAGTGAGAGGATCCAGGCTCCGCCAGCCGTGAAGAAGGAGCTGGAGAGCATGCTGGAGAAGCAGAGAGCCCTGCAGCAACAGCAGCTGGGGCATCTGCACCATCCGGTACAGCGGGAGGGGTCGCTGGGGAGGGCAGCTTTGGGGGCCACTGGGTGCGGCACAGTCCTCAGCGTTGACCTTTCTCCCGAGGCGTCCCCCCGACCAGGCCATCTCCTGGCTCTCTGGTCCTGGACTGGCCGCCTGGGCCCACGTTCTGGGATGTTCCAGCCCCAGTGACAACAAAGAACATGACACGTTTGCTGTAGAAAGAAGTTTGGTGTGACTGTGCCAAAGAGCTTGGAAGGAGGCGATGGCAAGGGGTGGGGTGGGGGAGGAGGGGAGGGATGGGCCAGGTTAGGGGGTGGGCTTCTTCCTGAGGGCAGCAGAGGGGCTCCACCAGCTGTGCAGTGTGGAGGGTGAGTTGAGTCTGAGGCTGGAGGCTGGAGGTCAGTGAGGAGGCCACTGCCATCAGACAGGGGACCCGTTGGAGGCTCTGGACACTCCCCTCAGACCTCGGTCCGCCCAGCTCTGATGCCATAATAAGCTGTTTGGTGGGGGGCACACTGAGTGTTCTAGACCTGGAAGCCCACTGCCCGGGGAGCCTGTAGCATGCACTCTGAGCAGCAGGGCGGAGCCTGCGTGGTCCTGCAAGGTGGAGACATTGCACGTGCTGGGAAATCCTCCTCCTCCTGTGCCCTCGGTGGTCCCTCCCACCTGCTAACCCTGGGGTGCAGGGTCTCTTGTCTCCCCACCACAGAGCCTGAGTTCTCCTAGGATATAAATGACAATTAGAACCTCACACGGTCTCCCCCAGGGCGGGCACCTCCTGCCCTGTGTGCTGCCACATTTTCATGCAGGCGTCAAATTAACAAGGTGGATAAAAACCTCAGACCCAGGAAAAGTGCTTTGTTGTTTTCTGTAACTCCGCCTATTTCTGACTCTGAGCCCCTGTTCATTAAGCTGGGCAAAACTCAGCCTTTCTTGGGGTCCCATCCGTTGAGGGAAAGTTACGGAGTCTCACCCAACGCCAGGCCTGGTGGTGGGAGTCTGGTCGTTGGTGTTTGGTCCACCCAGATGCCGCTGGGCAACTGCTGCCTCCAGACACTGGCCGCGGGCATCTTGAGGAGGCTGCTCTGAGCCCCTGCGTCCTCACGCCCAGGCAGCCGTTTCCCTCCAGGGCCCTGGGTCTTCCAGCTGCTCCCACGATGGCACCAGGAAGCAGGACCCAGGCTGCCACTGCCAGGCACCCGCCATCCTGCTCTGTCCACACCTCCCCCAGCCCCTGTCTACTGAGTGAGGGGAAAGCCCTGGCCCCAGCATCCCCCTCCTCCCCAGGGCTCAGCCCACTCTCACAAATGCCTTTTCCTCACCAATGCTCTATGCTCTCCTAAGAACTTAGACTTTTGAGAACAAAAGCCAGCAAGATTTCTCGGCTGCTGTCTTTTCTGCCCCACCGCACCCCTGCCCAGGCTGTGCAGGTGGGGCTGGCTGGCTACCTGCCTGAACGGAGAGAGAGACAGGGCTGAACACAGGGAGAAAAATGCAGTCATTGATGCTATGGCCACGGCTGGGATCCAGTGTGCAGTGACAGTGACTGCAGGCAGAGCGTGGAGCTGGTAGGTGATGTGAGCTGGCCTAGAGGAAGGTGGGGCAGCTCTGTGAAATCAGAGGCAAGAGTGCACGTTTACAGGACCCAGCAGCTCCTTACGGTGGGAGTGTGTAAAGAGTGTATCAGGGCACAATTCCAGCGTCAGAAGTGTGTACTATGAACACAAGGCTTGACCGTGCAACTTAAAGGTCAAGTTGCAAAGCCTTGATCATAGAACTCCCGTGAGTGTCAAGAGCGATGATTTCGGTTTGTAGTTTGTTTGTGCAAGGAGGTTTTGACGGCACCCACAAAGCACGCTGTGTAGACGCCCGCCTGTTTCTCCTGGACCTGTAAGGCAGCTAGGAAGCCTTCTCATCAAGCCCGAGGAGCTGTCCCAGGGAACTGCCTCATCTGGAATCATGGGGAGTCCCTCCTCCAGAAACCCCAGAGCCCCAGACGTGGTGGGGATCCTGTTTCTGCTAGTGCACAGGCCATGCTGCAGGCTTGTGGGTGGTGATGGCAGAGGGGTGGGGAGTCTTGCTAAGCTTCTCAGGGCCCTGAGGGGGATTTATCCAAAGTCCTGGGAGAATCCCCAAGGATTTTCTTGAGCCCAATAAGTATATGTGCATATAATTTTAAAATTATTGAAAAAAAATTTGTATTTTGGAGTATGTTAGATATACAAAAAAATTACAAAAATACACAAAAATTTCTGTATATCCCTCACCCAGTTTCCCCTAAAGTTGTGAGCTTACATTACCACTGGACATTTGTCAAAACTAAGAAATTCACTTTGATTCATTCCCATTACCTAACCACCAGACTTTTCCAGATTTCACCAGTTTTTCCACTAATGCCCTTTTTCTGTCCCACGACCCAGTCTTGGACACCACGTTGCATTTAGTACTATATAATGTTGCTCTTTCCTGTCCCACCGTAAGTGGAGTGCCCAAGACCATCCTGGGTTACACATCTTATCCCGGCATAATCATTAGTAGCATCCCCCCACTTTCACTGTCAAAAATGTCCTGATTTGGATAATAAACTATATGGCCCCCTAGCCATACACATCTTTCCACATCATTAAACACCACCCAAAACTTAGTAGCTGAAAACAACAATAATTTCTTGTTTCTCACGATTCTGCGGGCAGGCTGGGTGGGTCCCCTGGTCTGAGCTGGCTTGGCTGGGGCTCTGTGGTCTAGGATGGTCTCAGTCCCGTGTCTGGAGCCTGGTTTGGGACAGCTGGGGCTTCTCTCCTCTCGCTCTCTCAACCTCCAGGAGCTAATCCAGGGTCATAGGCACAGTGGTGGTGGCAGAAGAGCTCCCTGCAGCAAGAGAGGGCGAGTGGAGTGCATGGGCTCGCCAAGCCTCTGCTGTGGCATGTTTGCTAATGTCCCATCGGCCAAGGCAAATCGATGGCCAAGCCTAGATCCAGGGATCAAGAAATAGACTCTGCCTCATGATGGGAGGAGCTAAGGATATTTGACTCTTTTTCAATCTGCCGCACTTTGTAGTTCATTTAGACAATTCCCTATTGTTGGATATAGTTGTTTATGATTTTTGTGTGCATGTTTATAAACAGTACTGTTAAGTGACCATCTTAATGCGTAAACTTTGTGTGCATTTTATATTGTTATCTCAGGTTAGATTCCTAGAGGGGCTTCCTTGGTCAAGTGATGTGAAGCGTTCGGCTTTTTTTCTTTTAGGAGAATTCATTTTATTTTCTAACAGACTCATGAATATTACTAGACCTTTTTATGGGGCATGTTTTTAGCACCAGGAAATCCCCAGCAAGTCACTCTGTTTCTTTGGTATTTAGGTGCATACGCCTCTGGAGCCGTGTTCCTTGAAGATGCCACCACTTTTGGTAAGTGAACATTTATTCAAGCGGGCTTACTTGTCATCTCTTCCTTCCCCAGTGACCTTCTGCCCCCCAGTTACAGCAGAGCCCGGCTGACTGAATGGCACTCCTCTCTCGGCTCCCTGAACAAGCACCTCGGTGAGTGCGGTTTGTGGGCTTCTGTTCAGGTCTCTCAGAGCTCTGTTCCAGTGCTGGCTTTGTAGCAGCTTCAGCAGCCAGTCAAGCGTTTATGTGAGAGTCTGTTATAAACTCAGGGGTGAGTGGCAAGTCCTCCAGGGGAAGGAGGGAGGGGATGTAGACGACAGAGTGAGCCCTGAGGGTTCATATCGGACCTCTGGTACTTTGCCTGGCAGAGCCCCCTCCTCCCTCCCACAGCCTCCCAGACACTGCCCAGCCGGCAGCAATGCCAGCCACGTACTCTGACCCCTGACTCTTGACCCAGCATGGAGCCGGAGGGATCGTTCCGATGACCACCTGTGAGGACGGGTCGGGGGCCAGGTGCTGGGCATATGAGGTTAAAGCGCAGGGTCTTACAGTCAGAGAGACATGGGTTTGATGCCCAACTCTGTGCTGGCTCAGCTCTGTGACCTTGGGGAAGTCATGGCCTCTCTTGGCCTCAAACTCCTCCTCTCTCAAATAGGCCTATCAAGAGGAAGAATAACATTACCTATCCTGTGGGGTTGATGTAAGAATTACATGCGATCCTGTGGTCCAGTCATAGTTCAGGCCTGGCTTACACGGAGAGTGCTCAATAGTAAATGGTTATGTTTGAAAATGCTCTATAGCAAGGATTCCCAAACTCCTTTCCCTGGGCCAATGCCTGTTTGCAAATAAGTTTCATTGGAACCCAGCTACGCTCATTTGTTACATATTGTCTCTGGCTGCTTCTGCCTTACAACAGCAGAAATGAGTTGCAACAGAGATCTTATGGCTTGCAAAACTGGAAACATTTATTATCTAGTCTTTTATAGAAGAAGTTTGCCAAGCCTTGCTCTAGAAGATATATAATATTCCCATGTCCTTTGAGGCTCACAGCAACCCGGTGAGGTCAGTGGTGTCATTGTCCTTCTGTGATAGAGAAAGACTTAGAAGCACAGAGATGTGCAGTATTCTATCCAACGTCACACAGCTAGTGAAGTGTCACATGTAAACTTGACCTGGGTACCTCTGTTAGTAGTACTCACCATTGCTCCCAGGGCTCTCAGGTTTATAATTCCAAAGGTATTATAATTACATTATAATACCCAGGGTAAGAGCCCCGAGACCCTAAATCATAGCAATGGCTGCCATTCATCAGGCACCTCCTAGGGACAGGCATGGAGCTGGGCCCTGGTAATCAGCAGGGTGTATCACCCCTTGGGTGCTTCCAGGCCAGAGGAGAAGTCAGACCATGTAGGATGTTACAGCAGGGAGTGGACAGGTGACAAGCCTGTATCTTGGGACACAGGTTAAGGGTCATGCAAGACCTTGCCAAGGAAGTGATCATCCAGTTGAGACCTGCAAGGCCAGTAAGAGTTAGCCAAGCCCAGGGGTCAGGGGAGCTTTTCAAGCAGGAATACTAGCATGTGGGGAGGCTCAGAGGCAAGACAGAGCTGGGGCCTTCGGGGAAAGGAGAAGATGGCAGGGGAGGCTGGAAGATGCTGAGGGGCCAGACTGTGCTGGCCACATGGCCATGTGGAGGAGGCTGGACTTTATCTTGAGGGCAGTGGGAACCCAGTGGAAGGTTCTGAGCTGGGAGTGATGATGTTAGCAGGGGAACAGTCAGAGGGGTACAGGAGTGGAAGCACAGAGACCCAAGTTGGGTCCATCACAGTGACCTCACGGGAAGGGTGGGGATGTGCTGGCGTAGGAGGTGGCCCTGGGGATGGGAAAAACCAGCTTCGGAGCTTCTCCTCACCAGTTCCACTGAATATCTACTTCCCCCATGTCCCCACTGCCATTCACCCTGCCCTCCTCCCCAGTCCTTGTCAAAGAACAACCACCACAAAATCTTTGTGTTGTCTTTCAATTTCTAGAACTTACCTTAGACACCAAGAGTCACACTGAGTTGATTATAACTGGGAAACAGTAGGGAGAGGAAAGAGAAGAAAAGGAATCAATCCATCCATCCATCAGCTTCTGAGAGTTCTGCTAGTCCAGTCACTTCTTGAGGAATTAACCAAAGACATGATCTATAAACTCTCATTCAATTTGCACCCTTGTTACTGTTTTACAACTTGGTACAACTCTCCAAAAGGAATTTTACAGCCTTGAATCTGAGTTACGAATCAGAGTCGGGGGCTGGCCCGGTGGCGCAGCGGTTAAGTGTGTGTGCTCTGCTGCGGTGGCCTGGGGTTCACAGGTTTGGATCCCGGGCGCGCACTGACGTACCGCTTGTCAGGTCATGCTGTGGCCGCGTCCCACATAAAGTGGAGGAAGATGGGCACAGTTGTTATCCCAGGGCCAGTCTTCCTCAGCAAAAAGAGGAGGAGTGGCATGGATGTTAGCTCAGGGCCGATCTTCCTCACAAAAAAAAAAAGAATCAGAGTCAGAATGGATTTGTAACAGATGAAGATGACTCCTCATTTGAGGTCCTTACTTGGGGTGTCGGGCACTCTGTGAGGAGGGAGATACCAGCCCTGATCTGAGTCGGGACCCCTGATCTCACTTGAATCATCCTCGCTATTGAGGCACTTTGCTGGGGAGAAGCTGCTTCCCTGAGCCGGGGGGACGCTCCTCTTGCTGATCTGCCCTCTTCCTTCTGGAAGAGAAGCTGACATATCTTGTTTCTGCCCATGGAGATGCCTACCACGTGGACTGCATGTTGCGGATCCGCCTGCAGTATGAGAAGACGTGGCAGGAGTGCCTGGCCCACGTGCAGAAGTGCAAGGTGGGTGCCCCTCCAGGCAGGCTTGAGAGGAACAAAGGACAGGGGCCTGATGTCTCCCCCCTGGCCCACCCCTACCCCTCTCCAGCCTGGGTCTCTGCTCTCCTTTGTCACATGCCCCAGGCCCTCACTGGCCCTTGGGCATCCTGAGGCTGTCCTTCTGCCTGGACCCCCTCCTCCCCACCTATCCCTCAGGTTATAGCCCAATATGACCTCCCCCAGGAAGCCTTCCCTGATCCCACAGACAAAGGTATATGCTCTCTGATCACCTCAGTCTTCCCACCTTGACCCTCTGTTTCACTCACAGCACTTGACATTATTTATTCAGTGGAGGTCGTGGCATGGGGGTAATTTCCAATGCACCACTTTTATAAATAGTGCCGCCACTTCCCTCATGCCCAACTTTCTCTCCACCCTGCCCGCCTTTGTTAGAGACTGAGACAGTGAGTTCACTCACAAACCCCTCGATTACAATGGCTGGTTTTCTGGGGCTCAAGGAAATATTTTGTCAAAATGCCCCCTCCCTGGCTCCTTGGTAAAACTGTTTAGATGAAGAACCCAAGAAACCTAATCATTTTGGAGACAGTCTGACCCGCCGGCTGTGGCAGTCAGAGTCCCGGGACTCTGAGGGCCCCGTCTGCTGACCCCATTCCTGCTCCTCCAGCCCTCATGTGTCTGTTGTGTCCTTGGAGCTTTGCTCTGCCACCAAGCCTCTGAGGTGAGCAGGATTCACGGGGAGCAGAGCACTTTACAGCGTGATACGCGGTCCCGATGTTGCCGTCCCTGGACTGTGCCCCTGCTTGCATGAGCTCTCATTGAATCCTACAAGGTCCTGCAGAGTGGGGGTCACCAGCCCCATCTGGAGATGAGAAGACCAAATTTGCAAAAGGCCAGGGGCTGCCCATTTGCTCTGTGGCCTCAGGGACAGCCATGTGCCTCTCAGCTCTTTAGGGGCGTCAAACCTCATAAGTAAAACCTGGAGGGAGAGTAAAACCTTTGTCCTGGGAGAGCCTCCCTGAGACCACACCCCTGGCACTCACCCCCCCACCCCCTACTGTTGACACTTGTGCCCACTCTCACTTCCCTTTGTTGGGGACATGCAGGGGATGAGTGCTGAGGTCATCACATACCCCAGGAGTGCAGTAAGCCTGAGAGAGGGCACCTGGTACTCCTGTTCAGCAGCATTGGAAGTACAGAACTGTAGACAAATCTTTCATTGGGGGGAGGTGCATAACCAAGACCAAGTCTTTATTAATATAGAGTGCCCACTTTCCAATTGGCATAATTCAAAGTTACAGGAAACGGGAGCCCTGTCTGACTTGCAGCAACACTGAGACCTTGTGGGATGGCGGTTTATGCCTGTAGGCTCTACAGTGAGACAGTTGAGTTCAGACCCCGGCCCCACCACTTGCCAGGTGTGTGGCCTCCAGCTAGTTCTTTCACTTCTCTGAGGCTCGGTTTCCTCATCTGTCAAATGGGGCTAATGAGAACACCTCTGGGGGCTCACTGAGACACCAAAGGCGGCACACAGTGCCTGGACACGGCGGGCGGACCGCAAAGCTGGACCATCTGGGCCACTGTGAGCGTTTCCTCTGAGGTTCTCAGGGACGAGTAGGAGTCCAATCTCAGGGGGCAGGACCAGGCCCTGAGGTGAAGCTCCACCAGCCCCAAGTCAGCCTCTGCCTTATCCCCCTCCAGAAGCAGCTGCTGGACTGGAAAGCCTTCACCGAGGAGGAGGCAGAGAGCCTGGTGAGCCCGTCCTTCTTCCAGATGGTGGGAGTGCTCCAGAGCAAGGTGGAGGAGGAGCTGGAGTTCTTGGATGTGCGTAGCTGGGGGCCCACACAGCTGGGGAGCAGGGCAGACGTCACCTGGGGCACTGGGCTGTGAAGAGAATGGGAGTCTGGGTGCCACCAACTTTCCTGTCACTAGTGAGTCCCTCTCCCTCATCATAGCCAGCCCCTCTGGAGCAGTCCCTCTGTGGTGGGCGCTCCAGGCCCACCCCTGACACCCGAGCCACCTGCTGACACTGGTGCTGTGCAGGACTCCACGCGAACAGTCTCGGGCCACGAGTGCTCCCTGACCCCTTGCTGAGTCTGAGTTTTTTTCTTTCCTTATTAAGTCAAGAACTTTCACCTTTTCACTTAAAGGAAGCACTTTAAGGCTTCTCTTTGGCATACCTGATTTGTTAGCATCACTATTCTTGAGCTTTGGGGCTATTATTAAGTAAAATAAGGGTGACGAACACAAGCGATACTTGATACTTGAACACTGCGATACCACGACAGTCGATCTGATAACTGCGACGGATACTAAGTGACTAACGGGTGGGTAGCACATACAGCACGGATCCACTGGACAGAGCGATGATTTACTTCCCAGGAGGGATGGAGCCAGAGGGCATGGGATGTCATCACACTACTCAGAATGGTGCACAATTTAAAACTTATGAATTGTTTATTTCTGGAATTTTCCTTTTAATAATTTTGGACTATGGTTGACAGTGGGTAACTGAAAGTGCAGAAAGCGAAACTGAGGATAAGGGAGCACTCTACTATATCTTCTTTCAATTTTTTTTGCCATTTAAAAAGGTAAAATCTGTGCTTAGTTGGCAGGGCCAAACCAAAGAGGGCAGAGGGCCGCATTTAGCCCACAGGCCAAGTGCGCCGCCTCCTGACCCCGATGAGAGCATAAAACACTTATATAAAAGGGGAGAGGTGAGGATTTAACAGCAGAGGGCAGTGCTTGGCTCAGATGCTGAAGGTCAGGGAACCCCAAAGAAGGAAAGATGCCCCAGGCCGAGGTGGTATGGCCACCTGAGTGCCCAGGCTGGTGCCTAGGGTTGGTCCTCCTTTCTTCTAGGCCCCAAACTCCTGTCAGTGATTTCAGTGGACATGGGACAGGTCTAGAGACGGGACTTCAGGGTCAGCCAGACCAAAGGCACGGCCCTGGGCAGACTAGAAATGCTGTCCCAGAGGTGGGAGGGCCATGAGCCAAGGTGTGGCCAAGAAGAGCCTGAGGGACGGTGTCCAGGCAGTGACAGCCAGTCCTTGGAGACACGAGGCCTCCACTGGCTGGTGAGGGAGCCCTGTGAGTGGGGCCCTCCTCTTCGCCCTGGGCCAGATGGCACTCAAGGCCCCTTCTCTGGGTTCTGCCACTGCAGAAATCCTTTGAGGCCCTGGCAAAGCAGACAGAGCGGCAGAGCTCAGACCTCTTCAGATTCTTCCAGGAGGCCGTGTCGCTGTGGGAGGCACATCAGAACGTGCTATCTGTGCAGGAGCTGGAGCTCGAGAAGAGGATGGAGCAGCAGCGGCAGAAGCACAGCCTGGAGAACCAGGTGTGGCCTCCAGCACCCAGGGTAACCCCGACAGGGGATGAGGGAAGGGCCACAGCCAGATTGTCAGCTGCCCATTGGCTCCGTTTGGTGGCCTGTAAACTCAGCAAGCATTCAGATGCAAAAAAACAAAAAGAAGAACTTTGATCCATACTTCACACCATAGACAAAAATTAACCCCAAATGTATCCTAGACTCAAATGTAAAACCTCAAGCTATAAAACGTGAACAGATGGGGTTATTGAGGCTCACCTTGGTCATGGGACCAGATGGGAGTAGAAGAAATCTGCCTGAGTCAGGTCCCGGCTGTGTGATGGGTCCCTGGATCCAAACGTGTCTGTAAGAGAGTGTGCATGAGAGACAGACAGACTGGGGGCTATGGAGCCTCTACCTCTGGTAGTCACCCTGCCCCCCCCAAGAGATGAGCTGGGCCCCTACCCCACTGTCTTCACAGGGTCAAGGGAGTGGAGGGGGGCATGCTCAGCATCTGATTTCAAGTATGGCTGGTGAGAAAGAGGGTGAGGAGCAGGTGCCATGGTAAGGGGTAGCAGGCCTGCCAGGTGGGGTGGGTATAAGGGATGTGTTCCTGAGGAGTCCCACCTGAGCTGGGTCTCCGGGGACGGAGAAGAACCTTCCAGGCAGAGAGAGGAGCCTGGAGGCCTGGAGCAGTGCGAGTCAGAGTGGTGGCACATTTGGTGCCCCTTTTGTAGGAAAGAGAGTCCTGGGCTTGCCCTGGGCACCCGCACCTCAGTTCCAGTGGCAGAGTCTCTGCATGTCACTTATACCCTGTCAGCTCTTGTAACTCACATCTGCTTCCTCCTGTTTTGGGGGTGCTGCCAGGCCCAGGAGGCCCACCTTGATAGGCTCTTGGACCAACTGAGGCAGCAAAGCCATGAGAAAACACTCAAGTTTCACCTGGAAAAAGCCAAAGATTTCCTGGAGAATATGAAATGCAGGTAGGCAGACCGGATCCCAAAGGACAGAGGGGGATGGCCTGGAATCCACAGTTGAGGCCAGAGGCTGCCTGCTCAGGAGCCCAGGGGTGTGCCCAGCAAGCTCAAGATTCAAATGTTGCCTCTAACTTTGGAGAACGTTGTGGTCCTTTGCAGCCCTGCTCAACCAACATAGAAGCTTCCAGGGAGAACTTTGATCTGAAAAGTTTATGGAGAGAGGTTTCAAAGCCTTGTCCTTTGAAGGCCAAGAGCATGGGCCCTCCCCCGACCTTTGCAGATTTTAAAACATACCTTCCCTTTGTTAAAGCAAAAACAAGTTAACCACTACAAATGTAGAAATGTTTGCCTCATTCCTGCCCAACTCTTCCTTTTTATGGACATACACATTTATATGTGTAGATATATTCACATATATAGTGTTTCTTAGATAAAAGTTGGGTCATACTTTGCAAATTGTTCTATAACTACAGATAGATTTCCTTTTTTAAATGACCATGTAGAATTCATTCATATGGATGCTTCGTAATGACTTAACCATCTCCTAATTGATTAGATTTTTAAGATTGGGTTTCAATTTCTCAATATTAAAAACAGTTCTCTGTGAAATTCCTAGTACCTTTGTGCCTTTGTACAACTAATTCTGTAAGGACCATCCACAGAGATGGAATTGCACTGCCAGTTGACTGTAGTACTTAGATTCAGAAGTATGTCTTGAGGCAAATAAGTAACCCCCTGAAGGTTACCTAGGAAGACCTTAGGTAGGGTCTTCTTACCTAAGAAACAGGTAAAAGTCTGGGCCTTGGGGCGTTGGAGGGTTTGATGGGATGTAGGTAAAGTTCAAGGACGGGGTTGGGAGGGTGGACAGGAAATGGGAGCCCAAGAAAACCCTCTCATGTTTGTTTTTAAATGTTCTACAAAGAGTATGTATTCCTTGTATGATCAGAAAAATAGGAAAACAAACCAAGGACTGTTGTAAAAGGAAACTTACAGAGCAGCTCTGTGCAGAGCTAAATGCTAGATTCCAGCCCACCTCTGTGGGGTCAGGGGCGTGGCTCTTGGCTGGGGTCTCCCACACTGTGCCCAGCCCCCCTTAGACAGTGGTATCCCCTACCCACCTCCCAGGTATGAAGGTTTTCACGTCCTCCTGACAAAGGAAGTGATGGAGTACGGAGTGATCGTACTGAAAGAACTCAACTCCTACAGCGCCACCCTCAGCCAACATTTCTATGTTCGTGAAATCTTTGAGCAGGTATGGAGAAGGAAACTAAAAACCCAGCCACCTACCAAGAAGCAAAGGGGAAAGGATGACTTCTAGTTTTGATTTGCGTCGACTTCGAATGCCTTCCCTAACCCCTGCAGAGTTAGAATTTATGTCAGGATATCGAGGAGTAAGAAGCTGAAAGCATCTCTAAAAGAGACCACCTCTTTCTCAGATTAAAAGAGGCTGAAGGGCTCAGAATTCAGCTTCAAGGCTCGAATGGAATTATAATCAAAAGGCTAATTTATGTGACTCTTTGAGTTCCAATCATCCAACCCACCACCGCCACGTGACCCTCCCAAAATACAACTCTGACCTACCCACTCTCCTGCTCACAAGCCCCTCCCCAACTCTGCGGCCCCTACCAAGTCCAACCCACAGTCCCCTCCCCACATGACCCCAGAGGCCCCGCATCTGGTTCCCTCCTGACTCTCCCTGCTTCAGCCAACTCCCCACTCTTCTCGCATATGCCTCCTGGCCCCCTGCCCTTCCTCATCCTGCTCCTCTGCTGGGACCCTTCTGTCTCCACACATCCCACACTTGCCCATACCTCCAGTCCCTACCAGTGACAAGGGTCCCATTCACCCAGCCTGACCCCTCATCTCACCCTACTTACCCCGTCAGCTCTCCTCTCTGAACATGCTTGTACATTGGTTGCTGTCAAATGCAGGAGTTCAGAGCACCCACAGAAGGTGTTTCCAGAAGGCCAAGTACGCCTTACTAACTTTTATTCAACTCTGCTTGCCCTTAGCACAGTGTCTTGCACAACATTCAGACACAGTGAGTGCTCCCTGGGCAAATGCGTGACTACCTGGAGTGTCCTGGTCTGACTCTCCCAGAGTTTGGCTCTTTCCCACACACCCAGCCAGAGTCCCATGGCCAGAGCTGAAAATGCTTGTGGTTGACACTGAACCCAGCTGAGGGTTTCCCACATATATGGGGTCCCCAGCTCCTCAGAGAATCCCTCCTCTCGGTGGGGATCCCTGCTCCAGTTGCTAGTAAATGCTCCCCGTGGCAGCTGGGTGGAGATGGAGCTCAAGCTATCGGAAGGTGAGCTGCCATCTGTCCTTTGAGATCAGTCTGGTTGCCTGGATTAAAGGATTGACGTTATTATGATCTCCATGTCGCAAGGGAGGACACTGAGCCCCACAGGGTTGAAGGGGCTTGCCCAAGGTCACCCAGCTTGTAGGGAGCTGGGATTTGAATCCAGACCTGCAAACTCCACAGCCCACACTTATCCATGACACACCACATCCACAATTTCGTCCAGAGCCTGTGAAACAGGGAATTTGGAGGGTTCACAAAGGGCTCCCGTACCATGTAAATCATGTTCATTCTGTATGTTCGCATCCAGCGCTGGGTGCAGCAGATTCCAGCCCCTTTGTTTATATCCCTCAATTTATACTTTCTTGCTCTGCCCCAGATCGTGACCAAAAATATGTCAGAATGAGATTTTATTTTGTTGACACACATTGTGTGATGAAAGGGTTTGCTAGTCTGTTTCGGATTAAGGAACACTGATTCCCTGGACTGGGAGAACCCTGATCACCCCAGTGAAATAAAGGTCAAGGCCCGTGTCAGATGTTGAGAGGGAAGGGTGAGTCCTTTTACTTAAAAGAAGAGGTGCCCTTAGCAGTGGTGCTCCGGGGGAAGGCAGTGCTGCTCACTCTGTGTCATGTGTTTTCCTTGTAGAACTTGGATGGGAAAGTCATCTTCAAGTTCAGGGAACCAGGTAACACTTTCACAATTCAAGTCTGATTCTTCCTGATTTCACTCTGTGTCCCTGTGGGCTAGGGAGGCCCAGTCCAGGCTCCATTGGTAACCTGCTTTTCCTTGTTCTTTGGGGTTGGTCATCAACAGAAGCACATGAAAAGCACTTCCAGGAGAGAAGGAGAAAACAAAGGGCTCAAGTAGAAATGAGCAAAAGCAAGGGAAGCATCAGTAGAGGGACAAGTTCCCCCAGGCCAGCAGAAGAGATGGAAGAAGAAAAAGATCAGGAAATCAAGTCCTCCACAACTGAAGGGCTGGTAGGGAGCCAGCGTGAAGAATCTGTACTGAGTGACGAGATGGATGAGTCCAGAGAGGACTCTATTCAGGGATTAGAAGAAAAGCAGCTTGAAAGAGACAGCTCCTTAAAGCCATCCCTGAAACTGGAAAATGTGATGGTTCAAGAAGAGGAGATGGAGGAGGAGGAGGAGGAGGAGGAGGAGGAGGAGGAGAACAAAGAAGGGGAGAAGGAGGAAGAGGAAGAGTCGGAGGAAAGGGAAGAACGTGAGAGTTTATCTATGGATGAGGTAGACCAGCAATGGGTTCATTCTTGGGTGTGGGGAAAGTGTGCTATGTTCACTGTGTGTATCCCTGATACAAGCTGGAGTCCCCAGTAGCACAGTCCCCACTGGGGTGCATATAAAGAATTACAAACATAGGCACATCTCTCACTTTTGCCAATAAGGATCCAATTCTTATCTCATAGCAATGCTTTTTAAAATTCACCTTCCTCTCCTCACCTCCCATCCTGCAACCTACTCTGAAATCACCCCTCAACTATATGGCTTTCCTCGTCCTTCCCTGGTTCTCTCTTTTTCCCAGCTCCCCTTTATTGTATGGATCAACTTAGCCTCTCCATTCCTTCTCTCTTCCCATTCTCCGGTTGTGTAACACAAAAGATCCACATATGAGCTCTCTTTAGAGTGCAAGGAAGTGACTCTCATATTAATAAATCTTGTCCTCAAAACATTCAAACTCACAGAACAGTAACTTGCATTCCATCGTTTTGAAATTGCAAAAGACTCTTTTCCTATATTGCTATGGAAGAACTGGCATACGAGACTTCTTTTTGAGCAGGGATCCCAAAGTCAAATGCTCACAGGCATGTAATAGAAAAGAGGGCTGGAGACCAAGTGTAAAATAGTGACAAGTGGTGCAGACTACTGTCTGAGTCCATTCGGGCTGCTGCAACAAAATGCCACAGGCTGGGTGGCTCGTAAACAACAGAACTTACATAAACAGAACAACATAAACAACTTACTTCTCCCAGTTCTGTAGGCTGGAAGTCCAAGATCAACACACTGGCAGATTTGGTGTCTGGTGAGGGCCTATTTCCTAGTTCACAGATGGCCATCTTCTTGCTATGTCCTCACATGATGGAAGGGGCAAGGGGGCTCTCTGGGGTCCCTTTTGTAAGGGCACTAAATCCCATTCATAAGGGCTCTGCCTTCATGACCCAATCGCCTCCCAAAGGCCCCACCTCTAAATACCAGCACACTGGGGATGTGAATTTTGGAGAGACACCAACATTCAGTGTATGGCAACTGTGCAGCCATTAACTCAGGTCCAGCCAACAATGCCATGTGGAAATGTAGGCTCAGAATTACCGGATTTTCTGGTTTTTAAGAGAAACCAGTTTAAAATTTCCCAATTTAAAAGCACGATATGGGCAAAAAACAGTTATAGGCAAGATTTAGCCCAGAGGTTTACAACCTCTGATGTCGAGGAAGCTATGGTTGGGATCCACAGGTCTGTTTGATGATGTCAAGTCTAAAGTCTTATTTTCTGCTTAGGCCAAAGCCCAGGAAGAGAGTCTGGGGGAGGTCTCCCATGAGAACATGGAGTCCTTCACAACTTCCAGTGGAAACACTTATTTTGTCTTCCTACCCCTGGAACAAGAAGAAGAGAGTTACAAGAGGCCCAAGTCCAACCTTTCTGCCATTCTCATCAGTGACACTTCCAGTGCCAAGTTCCTGGAACAAGTGATGATTCCATCCAGACTGGTTTCAGAAATTAAGAAACAGTGAGTGGAAAACTCTTCTATATTCATGCTCTTATCCTACATTTTATTAACAAGGTAAAATATTAAAACAAAAGATTGGACTAGTTTCACCTGGAAAAAGAAAATATGTAGGTAATTGAGGGTAGAGATGAGAAATACCATAAAAAAGAGCAAATGTCCAGGAATTATTTGCAGTCACAGTGACCCCCTCCACCTGTCCCAGGATGCCTTGCTGCCTTGGGCCTCGTGCATAAGGAATAGTGTTTTCTCTGTGAGATGTTTCTGGGTTCCAGATCCTGGCATACCTGTAATTTTAGGGTTTCTTCTTTTTTTTTCTTTTAATTATATAAATATAAACCATAGGTATAAAGATAGCAGTATGGTATTTGGTTCTATGTGACACATTTATTGCAGAAAATTAAAAATTAAAAAAAGTACAATGAAGAATATAGAAATGACCCATAATTCTACCACTGAGAATTTACCTCCCCTGACTCCCAAATTTCTGGGCCTTCGTGTTTGAATTTGGACCAAATGTGGAAATTTGCATTTGGCTTTAGGATAGCAATACCATTGCCTTCCTGACTCTACGATGTCATAGCTAGGACTAACCAGCTAGAGATCAACCCGGTTCTACCTCTCATGTTTACACATTGGCAGGGAGTAGAAGGAGTAAAGTCAGGCCTTTGGACTCTTCTCCTTCAACCTCCCTACATCTCACTTCACAAATGTCTCTTGACTTGAACCTCATCCTTCTCCATCCTCTTCCACGGGCCATCATTGGTCTTCTCCATGGCCCATAGAACAAAGAAAAGCAAAGACCACCCAAGAGCTAATATTTACTGAGAGGATTTAATCCCCTCAATAACTATGAGAGAGGTACCATAATTAGCCCATTTTACAGATGAAGAAACTAAAGCTCAGAGAGTTAGTAACTTGGACAAGATCTCAAGAAAGGAAGTGGTTAGATTGAGGATATGAATCTAGACCCTGCAATTCCAGAGTCTTGAACCAAACACTATGCCATCTGGCCTTGGGACTAACTAAGAAAAAAGTTCTGGATCCAACTGACTGGATTTTCATGTTGAAGCATACATACCAAAAGGTATGGAAATCATGAGTGTATCACTCAATGAATTATCCAAAGGGAACACACCTGGTAACCAGTACCCACAAGAAATAAACCTTACCAACTCCACGGGAGCCCCCCTTATGTACCCATCCCACATCAGTGCCCTCTCTTCCCCAAGGATTACAAATATTCTAACTTCTGAATTACTTTTGCTTGTTTTTGAACTTTATTTAAATGGAATCATACAGAATGTACTTTTTAATGTCAGGCATCTTTCATTATATTTGTAAGTTTCAAACATTTTTGAATGTGGCTGTAGCTCATTTTTATTTCTGTATGGTATTTCATTAGAAAAAATACAACCCATTTTACTTATCCATTCTACTACTGATGCACATTTGGGTTGTTTCCCATTTGGGAATATGCCAGCAATGCCACTCTGAACATTCTTGTACAAGTCCTTTGGTGAATACATGTTTATATGTCTGTTAGATATGTAACTAAGAGTGGAATTGTTGGGACGTGGAGTTACATGTGTGTCCATCTTGAGGCAATACAACCAAATGATACTACCCAAGAGTTTTCAAAAGTGGTTTTGTTTTAACAGTTTACAACAGTGTGTGAGAGTTCCATTTGCTTCCCATCCTCACCAACACTTGGTATTGTCAGCGGTTTTTATTTTAGCCATTGTCGTGTATATGTAGTAGTGTTTCATTGTGGTTTTAAGTTGCATTATCCTGATGAATAATGATGTTGTGCACCTTTTCATATACTTGTTGGCCATTTGGTTATCTATCTGTGAAATGCCTAGTCAAATCTTTTGCCCATTTTTTTCTGGTGGATTGTCTATCCTTTTTCTTATTAATTTATGTGAGTTAGTTACCTACCCTAGATATGGGGTTTTTGTCAGGTAAATACGTAGCAAAATGTTCATCCTCCTCTGTGCTTGCCTTTTTTATGCTCTCTTTATTTTTTTGCTGAGGAAGATCAGCTCTGAGCTAACATCTGTGCCCATCTTCCTCTATTTTGTATGTGGGATGCTGGCACAGCATGGCTTGATGAGCTGTGCATCAGTCCGTGACCGGGATTTGAACCAGCGAACCCTGGGCTGCCAAAGGGGAGTGTGCAAACTTAATCACTACACCACTGGGCCACATTTTTTTACTCTCTTAAAGGTATCTTTTGATGAACAGAAATTCTTATTTGTAATAAGGTCCTATTTATAAATTTTTTCATTAGGGTTAATGTACTTTCTATCTTATCTAAGAAATCTTTGCTTGCCACTAGGTCATGAAAATATCCTCCTATGTTAACTACTACAAATGTTATTGTTTTAAACTTCCACATTTAGTTGTAAAATCCACTGGGAATTTGTTTTTGTTTATGCATGAGATAGGAGTCAGATTCATTTCTTTCCCATAGGGATAACCAGTTGGATAGCTGGATAACCCAGGCCATTTGAGAAGACTCTCCTCTCCCCACTGCTGTGCTGAGCCTCTTTTCTGTTTCTCTCTGTGTCTATCCTTGCACCACCACCTCACTCTGCTTGATTACTGTAGTTTTATACTAAGTCTTAATACCTGTTAGTATAAGTCCATCAACTTTGGTCTTCTGCAAGGTTGTCTTGACTATCCTTGGCCCTTTGTATTTCTATATAAATTTGAAATCAGCTCATCAATTTCCATAGGAAGATATCTGCTGAGCTTTTTTTTATTATTATTGCATTGAATCTATAGATAAATTTAGGGAGAACTGATATCTTAATACATGGCCATTTAACAATACATACATTTTAAAAAAGAAGTGATAAACTTGGAAAAATATTTGCAACTCATATCACAAAGGACCTCGTGTTCCCAATATGTAAAGACGCCCCATATAAAGAGATAAGAAACAATGCAGCTACACAATAGAGAAATAGGCAAAAGATATTAATAGGTAGTACCAGAAAAAGAACTTAAATAGTCTTAAACCCATGAAAATATGCTCAGTCTTAGTCATAACATGACAAAATTATCAAATTCAAAAGTTTGACAATACACTCTGAGGCTATGGAGAAATAGGAGTTACTGTTCATTGTCGATGGGAGTTCAGGTTGCCTTGCGATGGAAGCAGTTTGGCCACATCTTCAAGAATTGCACGTGTATTTTAGCCTTTGATCAACAATTCCAGTTCAGGGAATTTATCCTATAGAAATGCTTCTGCACTTGACATATGTACAAGGTTATTCATTGCAGCCTTCTTCGTAAGAAGAAATGGTTCGAAACCACCCAGTGTCCTCCAGCAGGAGTCTGGTTAAATGAATGATGGTCCACCCGGACATGGAAAAGAAATACAGTGTAGTCGGGAAATAAAATAAAGAAGGAGTGAAAGGGGGAAGCACTGTGTCAATATGGAAAGATCTCTCCCTGGTCATGATTGCTGGCAGGGCTGACCCTCACTGGTCTGTCCCTCAGACTTCGAGCTGGCTTCTTCGAGCACTTAGAGAAGTGGTTTGACCAACGTGCCCTCAATGCCCGGGTCATCATGGCCACCAAGATTGATGAGCTGCATTCAGAACTGGAGCTGCGTCTGCACCTGCACCAGCCAAGAGCCCAGCACATTGAAAAGGACATCTACAACGTGAGAGCAGGTAGAGACCCTGCCTGGGAAGGCCGCCGTCCCCCAGACCCCTAGTGTCTATGCCACCACAGCTCCAAGTTCATCAGCTGCCCCAGTTTGCACCAAACAACATTTAGAATGTTGTCGTCACATCATGAAAGATGTGGGTGATGGTTTGCACCTCCCAGGCTGGCGGAGAAGGTAGTACTCAGAATCCTCATTTGAAACTTTCTTAATTGTTTTTTAAAAAGAGGGTGTTAGATGCTGAAATGAAGAATATTGTCCTGTTTTAGTGTGTGGATCCCAGATCTACTCACACTCCTGTTGGGTACATACCTGCATGGTGGATGCTCCAGAGGCAAGCCTGTAGCTCAGGAGTGTCAGAGCTATCAGACTCAACCTCTATAGCTGTGTGAATCTGGGTGGGTTACCTGACTTCTTCTCTGATCCCTCCCTCACCTGGCGGAGGGGATGTTGGTGGTGGTAATTAACTCTCCTTGAAATGGTACAATGAGGAATCATGAGCACCTGGTACAAGCTCCAAACTTGGTAGCCGTTATTCTCAGCTTATAATTTACAACATTTAAAAAGAGGTGCCGTGGGCCGGCTCCGTGGCTTGGCGGTTAAGTGCGCGCGCTCTGATGCTGGCGGCCCGGGTTCGGATCCCGGGCGCGCCCCGAGGCACCACATCTCCGTCCAACCCGGGGCCGGGTCCCGCGTACAGCAACTAGAAGGATGTGAACCTACGACATACAACTATCTACTGGGGCTTTGGGGGGAAATAATGAATAAATAAAATCTTTAAAAAAAAAAAAAAAAAGAGGTGCCGTTTCTCTCTTAGGCACCTAATGGAGGGGACACACTTTTAGTTGGATCCTTCAATGGCCCCTGTCGGGTTTTCATTCGTGTCACACTTCAAGCTTCATCACAGACCTTTAGAGCTCGCAGAGCCTCCACCCCACCCCCCCAATCTCCCGTTGCCTGGGGCAGTGAAAGAGTTGTGGAATCAGACAACCTGGCCGAGAGTCCCAATGCTTGTGGCCTTGGGAGACCTGCTTGATTTTTGGAACCTCATTGTCTTCATTCGGAAAATGTGTGTGTTAAATATAAATACAAATAAAGATGCCCCCTGAAGGCTGGTTTCCGTCCCCTTGTCTGGGTGTCTGGCCCAATGCACACTGTGGAAACCGAGGCCAAAGAAACAACGTCCCAGAGTCGCACCCTTCATTTTGGCAGAGCTGGGACCACAGAACTTTCACCGCTCCAGGCAGCAGGAAGGTCAGATGGGGTGACCTGGGGCTGTGTGCTAGCTCTGAAGGCCTCTGATGGAGCTCTTGAAGCCAAATCCTGCTTCTTTTTACTTAGAAGTCCGGTGGAATTCAGGCTCATTGTAAATGAATATCCGCTGAAATAAAGGAACAAAGCTGACTGCCCACTTTTGTGCCGGTTATTTTCTCCCAGACCCTCTCACCGAGATCCCCGCCCTCCTCAACACCCTCTACTCATCCCACGTGCCCCCAGGTTTCTCCCCTGGGACTCTCCATTTCGCAGGCTCATTCCCTTCTGCTGCAGGTGGGGACCTCCCTGCTCACAGCCAGGCAGTTAGAGACCCTGGGACAGTCTCAGGTTGGCCTTTCTGAGATCTGCGCCCATTCCCAGGCCAAGCCCTGGTGAGGGCGGGGTGGGGGCAGGATAAGGGACTTGACCTGAATGGTCCCTGCTCTGCAGCTGGCCTGAGAGAGGCAGCCGTCACAGTCCAGGAAAGGAATGTCCTGAGGTGTCTCAGGATCCCAGAGGGCCTCAGCTCCCCTCGTCCTTTTTTCAGCTGAGCTCCTGCTTCACCAAGAGCGGCTGAACAGCCACTGTGCTGGGGTGGTTGAGACGCTGAAGAAGGAGAACCTGATGTTCCACCAGTTCCAAGAAGAGCTAAACGTGAGGAGCAAAAACTTCCAACGCAAGATTTACGACATGGAGCACATCTTCTTGAACGCCACAAAGAGCCAGAGGTGAGGGCCCTGGGAGTCTCCTGGCCTCCGGGCCCTAGAGTCCCAACCAGGTGGCTGCTCTCAAAGGAGTGGTCTCTCCCTGGTGGATAAAAGAGTCCGTTTTCAGGCCCTTTAACAACTTTTTCTCTTCACGTCACCTCTTTCACAAGAGTAAGAGTCCAACCATGTGAGACATCTATCTGGAGCTGGAGGATGGGGGCTGGGGTTGGGACTGGAGGCTGGGCGCTGGGGCTGGGGCTGAGAATGGGGGCTGGAGGCTGGGGGCTGGGGTTGGGACTGGGGGCTGGGCTCTGGGGCTAGGGCTGAGACTGGGGGCTGGGCACTGGGGCTGAGAGCTGGGGCTGAGAATGGGAGCTGGGGCTGGGGGCTGGGGTTGGGACTGGGGGATGCTTGCTGGGTGCTGGGGTCTAGGGGCTGGGTACTGGGGGCTGGAGGCCGGGGTCAGGGGCTGGAAGCTGGGGTTGGGACTGGGGACTGGGGGCTAGGTGCTGGGCACTGGGGCTGAGACTAGGGGCTGGGGGCTGGGCACTGGGGCCGGGGCTGAGAATAGGAGCTGGGCTGGGGGCTAGGTGCTGGGCGCTGGGGCTGAGACTGGGGCTATCCATTGGGGGCTGGGTTTGGGCCTGGGCACTGGGCACTGGGACTGGCAGAGGGTGAGCAGCCAGACAGAGAAAATGGTGCACATGCTCAGAGTGCAAACGAGTGCCCCAAAATGTCCATGGTGGGAAAGATCTCTTCCATCAGGGGAAATCAGGAGGAGCTTCCTGCAGGATGCCCCTGTGCCTGGGGTGGAGGAAGGTAGGGAGGGGCAGAATTCTCCCGTCAGAGAAGGAGCCCTGGCCTGGCTCGGCTGGGGGGGTGTACTAGGGCAGAGCAAGGGGTTCTAGGGAGGCCATTCAGGGATTTGAGATGGAGACTCTTGCATGCCCAGAGAGGCCTCAGTCAGGTACTGTTACTGTGAGGAGCCCTCACAGGTGTCTGCAAGGCGATCAGGTTCACCAGAGGCAGCTGTTAGAGTGGACTCGGATGTAAAGAGGAAACTTGCAGGGCACTCTTCTGGGAGAGTACAAGGGCACAGGAGCCACGTTGCTGGGAGTTAGCGAAAGCGTACTGGAGGCGAGGAGACCCAATAAGACCTGGGGACTCTTACCAGTTTGGTGGCAGGGCCAGAGAGAGGAGAGGGATGCCTTGTGATCCAGCACACTGAGAGTTCCACGCTGTGTCTTGCACACTCTGGCATTTTGAACTTCCTTCTAATGCCCCTTTTTCTACCCAGAGAAGATGGGCAGTGGTCCTAGTGGCCCCCCAGCTGGATGCAGCGTGTGGAGCGCAAGCAGCCTCCCAGGCTGCCTGCTCACGTCCAGGCCACCACCCTCCCCTCCCGTGCCCCCCAGGCTGGTCACCCTCAGCGGCACACTGCACCAGGAGCTGCTTAGCTACATCGATGTTGTCCAGGTGTCCCTGCGCAGCTTCCGCCAGTACTTGGAGGAGAGCCTGAGCAAGCTTCGCCTCACCAACGTTGAGTTCATCAAGCACTGCAGGTGGGAGCCAGCATCCGGGCTTTCTCTACTGAGGGGTGGTCTTGTTTCTCCTTAATTTTTTATTGTGACAAAATATACATAACCTAAAGTTGTCCATTTTAACCATTTTTTGGTGTCCAGTTCAGTGGCATCAAGTACATTCACATGGTTGTGCTACCATCGCCATCATCCATCTCCACAACTTTTTCATCTTCACAAACTGAAACTCTGAACCTATTAGGCACTAACTCCCATTCTCCTTTCCCCTGGCCCCTGGCATCCACCGTTCTACTTTCTGTCTCTGAATTTGACTACTGTAGGCACCTCATATAAGTGAATCATGCAATATTTATCCTTTTGCGCATAATGTCTTCAGGGCTCATCCATGTTGTAGCGTGTGTCAGCATTTCATTCCTTCTTAAGGCTGAATAATATTCCACTGTGCATGTCTACTGCATTTCGTTTATCCATTCGTCCACCAATGGGTATTTGGGTTGTTTCCCTGCTTCTTTGATTGGACTGTCTGCATTCATTTTACCATGACCTTGTACATTTAATCTAAAGCCTTGTCAACCACAGTATTTGGGATGAGTGAAAAGTTTCAGGTCTGATCAGTGGCTTTTATTTCTCCCAAATTATTTTCAGATTGTTTTCAGAGGGAGGCAACTTTTCTCCTGAAGAAATTGACTCCCTGTGTCATCGACTGGAGAAGGAAGCTTCCCGGATAGAGTTTGTTGAAAGTTTAATCATGATCAACATGGAAAAGATGGAGAGCGAGTACCTGGACCAGGTGGGTGAGCTTGGCTCCGCCCTCAAGCCAGGCTCCCAGGACCCCCGGTTACAAGGTGGACGCCCGGCTCATCGCCTGACGAGCCAGTCAAGCCCCAACCATTAATTGAAGCTGTCCCCTCTGCTTCCAAAATCCAAAAGTTCCAAATTAAGCCCCCCTTCCTTTACTTCTTATATTTCTTTACAGGCCAATGATGTCATCAACAAGTTTGAAAGTAAATTCCATAATCTGTCTGTGGACCTTATTTTCATAGAGAAAATCCAGCGTTTGCTGACAAATCTGCAGGTGAACATCAAGTGTGAGGTAGGATGGATTCATTCTTCATCTGGTAGATGTTTATCACACACGCCTGCACGCCAGGCACTGTCCCAGGTGCTGGATCCCACTGTGTTCTCTGAGGGTGGAGCTGCACTGCAGCCGGGGAGACAGAGGTTAAATCATAATAGCCTCTGGCACTCACTGAGTTATTAAGCACCATGCACCCTGCTACTAGACTTATTTTGATTAACTGTGTTTAGAGGTCAAGAAACCGAAGCAGAGAGTAATTAAGTGACTTAGGCAAGAACACAGAACTCTTCAATAGTAGAGCCAAAACGTGAACCCAGGTCTGACTGACACCAGAAATTATGGCCTTCACCATGAATAGGCCATCTGGGTGACAAAAGGGGAAGAGGGTCATGTGAGGGGCGGAGAGGAGAGGATTGAACCTGGGCTGGGAAAGTGGTGCTTCCCAAGGCTGGATGGAGAAGTGGGAGCCAGCCAGGCAGGAGGGAGGGAGCAGTGTCCTGAGAGATCATGAAAAAATCCTGAGGGGCCAGAGCCAAGAGGAGAGAGAGCTGGAGCGGGAGAAATTGGGAGCAATGAGGCTGGAGAGGTGGCTGGACTGGTCAGCAGGGCCGTGCAAGCAGGGCTCCTGGTGCTGGATCGACAGTCAGGGCAGTGGGCACTAGGGAAGGGGGCTGTTTATAATAATTTATAATTTATACATTTATAAATTATAATGATAATTTATAATTTTATGAATCGATAATTTATGAATTATAAATTATAAAAATTTATAATTTTTTAAGCTTGTATAATCTTTACAGATTCTTCAAAAACACCATTTTTGATGGCTTTCCTCTCCTGGATGTGTTGACTTTTTTTTTTATTATTAATGTCATAATAGTTTATAACATTGTGAAATTTTAGTTGTACATTATGGTTTGTCATTCACCATGTAAATGCGTCCCTTCACCCCTTGTGCCTACCCCCCAACCCCCTTCCCCCTGATAACCACCAAACTGTTCCCTCTGTGTATTAGTTTATCTTCCACATATGAGTGAAATCATGCGGTGTTTGTCTTTCTCTGTCTGATTTATTTCACTTAACATAATACCCTCCAGGTCCATCCATGTTGTTAAAAATGGGATGATTTTGTCTTTTTTTTATGGCTGAGTAGTATTCCATTATATATATATACATCTTCTTCATCCAGTCATCAGTGGGGGGACAGTTGGTTTGCTTCCGCATATTGCCTATTGTGAATGATGCTGCGGTGAACGTAGGGGTGCATAAGCCTCTTTGGATTGTTGATTTCAGGTTCTTTGGATAAATACCCAGTATCTTAAGGTATTTCTATTTTTAATTTTTTGAGGACTCTCCATACTGTTTTCCATAGAGGCTGCACCAGTTTGCATTCCCACCAACAGTGAATTAGTGTTCCTGTTTCTCCACAACCTCTCCAACATTTGTTATTTTCTGTCTTGGTGATTATAGCCATTCTAATGGGTGTGAGGTGATATCTTAGCATAGTTTTGATTTGCATTTCCCTGATGATTAGTGATGTGGAACATCTTTTCATGTGCCTTTTGGCCATCTGTATATCTTCCTTGGAAAAATGTCTGTTCATATCCTCTGCTCATTGCTTTGTTTCCCAACGTATAGTCTATCCTTGAGAATGTTCCTTGTGTGCTTGAGAAGGATGTGTAATCTACTGTGTTTGAATGGAGTGCTCTCTGTATATCTATTAAGTCCATCTCATCAAGTTTTTCATTGAAGTCCATTATTTCCTTATTGACTTTCTGTCTGGATGATCTGTCCATTGATGTAAGTGGGGTGTGAAGATCCCCTACTATTATTGTGTTGTTGTTAATATCTCCTTTTAGGTTTGTTAATAGTTGCTTTATGTACTTTGGTGCTCCTATGTTGGGTGCATTATAAGTGATATGTCTTCTTGGTGGAGTGTCCCTTTTATCATTATGTATTGCCCCTCTTTGTCTCTCATTACTTGTTTTATCTTGAAGTTTACTTTGTCTGATTTAAGTATGGCAACACCTGCTTTCTTTTGTTTGCCATTAGCTTGGAGTATTGTCTTCCATCCTTGCACTTTGAGCCTGTGTTTGTCTTTAGCGCTGAGATGTGTTTCCTGGAGGCAGCATATTGTTGGGTCTTCTTTTTAATCCATTCCGCTACTCTGTGTCTTTTGATTGGAGAAGTCAATCTATTTACATTTAGAGTGATTATTGATATATGAGGGCTTAATGTTGCTATTTTATCACTCATTTTCCAGTTCTTTAGCATTTCCTTTGTTTCTCATCCTGTGTGTTTTGGACTACCAATTCAGTTTGGTAGTTCCGTATGATGGTTTTCTTAATTTTCTCTTTATTTATCATATGTGTCTCTGTTCTGATTATTTGTTTAGTGGTTACCTTGAGGTTTGTATAAAACGTCTCCTAAATGAGTTAGTCCATTTTCTGATGGCCTCTTATTTCCTTAGACTAAGTCGATTCCTTCCCTTTCCTCTTCCCCTTCTAAGTTATTATTGTCACAACTTATTCCATTTTGTGTTGTGAGTTTTTGTTTAAAGTGATGAGGTTATATTTATTTTTGGTGTTTTCCTTCCCTTAATCTTTGATGTTATTATTAAGCATTTGCTAACCTGTTCTGATAGAGAGCTGCAATTTTTCTGATTTTGTCTACCTATTTTTCTCCTTGCTCAAAGCTCTGTATCCCGTTTCTCTTTTTTTTTTTTTTTCAGGCATGAGGGGCTTCTTGAGCACTTCTTGTAGTGGGGGTCTTGTGGCAGTGAACTCCCTTAGCTTTTGTTTATCTGGCATAGTTATTATTTCTCCATCATATCTGAAGGATTTTTTCACTGGATAGAATATTCTTGGCTGAAAGTTTTTGTCTTTCAGAATTTTGAATATATCATTCCACTCTCTTCTAGCCTGTAGAGTTTCTGCTGAGAAATCGGCTGAGAGCCTGATAGGAATTCCTTTGTATGTTATTTTTGTGTGTGTATCTTGGTGCCCTTAATATTTTTTCTTTATCATTGACTTTTGCCAGCTTTACTACTATATACTATATGGAGAGGGTCTTTTCATGTTGATATAGTTAGGGGATCTATTGATTTCATTCACTGGTATTTCCAGCTCCTGCCCCAGGTTTGGGAAGTTCTCAGCTATTACATCTTTGAACAAGCCCTCTGCTGCTTTTCCCCTCTCTTCTCCCTCTGGAGTACCCATAATCCTCATGTTGCATTTCCTAGTTGAGTCAGATATTTCTCAGAGAATTTCTTCATTTCTTTTTAGTGTTAGTTCTCTCTCCTCCTCCACCTGGAGCATTTCTGCATTCCTATCCTCAATATTGCTAATTCTTTCTTCTGTATTGTCAGCTCTTTCTTTAAAGATTTCAGATTTGTCTTTATCTCCTCCATTTTGTTTTTCATCTCCAACATTTCTGATTGGTTTTTCTTTATAGTTTCAATCTCTTTTGTGAAGAAGTTCCTGATTTCATTGAGTTGTTTATCTGTATTTTCTTGTATTTCATTGAGCTTTTTTATGATAGCTATTTTGAATTCCCTGTCATTTAGGTTATAAATTTCTGTGCCTTCCAGATTGATTTCTGGGTGCTTGTCATTTTCCGTCTGGTCTGGAGATTTAATGTATTTTTGCATACTGCTTGAGGGCCTGGGCTTATTTCTCCTCATTCTGAAAGTATCTGGTCACAGCTTCCACCTGCCGCCACTGGGTGGGGGTTAAGAGCTGTGTGTTCTGAGTCTGCTGCGATCTGTGGGCGCTCTGGCTGACCAGCTGTGCTGGTGCTCTAGGCGGGGCGAGGGGCTCTTTCTTTTGCCTGGGGTCTTCTCCCCCTTCCCTCGCTATTTGCTCTCCTGAGATACTAGCTTGATGAAGGCACCCTGCAACAGTTCAGTCCCTTCCATATGGGAATGTTCCACAGGCTGTGAGAGAACTTGGAGAGTGACGGTTTTCCTGCAGAGGGCTGCCCCTCCCCGCTCTCTCTCAGAGAGCCACATGGTCCCGGTCCCAGGGTTACTCTTGTTGGGGAGGGAGAGGAGTTCTCCTTACCTCCTTCCACTTCCTCCTGGAGTACCAGCACCTTCACCTTCAGATGTATGGCTGTGTGGGTCTCTCAGACGTCTTTTGCGTCACGTGAATGTCCTCTGTTGGTATATGAATGTCCTTTTTGTTGTGTCTTAGTGGGGAGAGTCTAAGGGGAAAAGCTCACTCCGCCATGATGCTGATGTCACCCCCTGTTGACATTTTTACTTAACCATTCCGTTTTGGAGGAATATTTAGTGGATTTCACTTATTATTATACCAATGGTGTGATAAATACGCTTGCACGGGAAACTCTGATTATGGCCATAGGCTATGTCCCAGAGCTGGAATTACTGGGTAGACTGTGAACATTTTAAGGCTCTTTGTGCTTTCCAGTTGGCTTATACAGAAGTCTCCTCACCAGTAGAGCATAAGTGTGTCCTCCTAACTCCTCACCAGGACTTTGGGTCACTAATTTTATTTTTAAACCTTATTTATTTGACAGCAAAAAAAAAAAATCTTTTAATTTTCCATTGGTCTAGTTTCTGATAAGATTGTTTATTTTCCCCCTGATTTCATTTCTCCAATACTTAATCCATCTCTCTGATAATATGTTTTGCTGAACATTTCCTGATCAAAATAAGTATTCTAGAAACAAATCTCAGAACCTCTGATTTTTCTAGGTTGCAAAATCTAATTTGCAATCAGATGGATTAAATTCTTCTCTGGAACAGCTTCAAAGCAAGGTAGAAGTGTGTCAAAACTCAAGGGGAGATAAAATAGTAAGTGCTCAGTAGATGCTGAGGTATGGAGAGCCCCTGGTGACCCCTGTGTTTTCATGCAGATGTGTCTGCACATCCCCTGGCAGGCAGGGGAAATGAGGGCTGTGGCCCTTTCCGCAGGCCTTTTAGGGGCAGCCCTGCTTCTCCAGAGCAGAAATGTTTGCTCTCCCACTTTTCCCCACCTCCCAGCTCCCCCTCTCTGCCCTCTCCTGGTGGTGCCAGGGTGTTGGGAAGGGTGCCAGGGGCTTGTGCAGCCTCCTGGCCAGGCAGGGGGAACACGAGCTTGGGTGGGCAGGCAACCCTGTGTTGATGGAGGACACTGGTTGGACACTTCTTCAGAACAGTGATCAGGAGATGGGAGTAGTGCATCAGAGGCAGGGTGAAGGCAGTGGGGGCCGGGGACGGTGTGAACAGGGCTGTGTGCTCAGTGCCACATTGAGGAGAGCCTCCTGGCTGCTGGGTGAGGAAAGGCAGGGAGGCAGGTAGGAGTGAGGCAGGATGTCGAGACTGAGGCAGAGAAAATAGTGGCCTGGACAGGGTTCCAGCAGGGACATGTTCCAATTCCAGAGTTGAGTGGCAGGGGATGGGTGGGAGTCAGAGTGCACTGGAAATGAAGGAAGCAGAAGAGGCCAAGGTGCCTCATGGCCTGGGTCACCCACCAGGTCAGTGAACCCATCATGTGCTAAGTGGTGTGTATGAAGGTGAACATCCTCACAGCTGCTTCCCTCTGCACCTGTGGGGCATGGTCTGTGGGACTGCTGCTCCAGGGGCTATGCATTTGATGTTGTCCTGGAGATGGCCAGATCACCCTCCAGAAAGGCTGTGGCCATTTTACTTCTACACAACCTCGCCATCTTGGACCAAACATTTCCTTCTAAATGTAGAGTGCTAGAGCTAGAAGAGATCCCTGGAAACATTCTGTGTCCCCATTACACAAATGGGGAGATTGAGCTGAGTAAGTTTAAATCATTTGTCCAGAACAAATCCATAGAACCAGGACTAGAAGTCCTGATGCCCCATCAGTAAAGGATCTACTGTCCCAGAGCAGCCACCTAAGAGAGCCGGTCCAGTGTTCCCCACTTCCCCAGGGCCCTCCCTGCAAGTGAGGGGCCTCCACTGAACCAAGAGATGTTCTTACCAGCCAGCCCCCATCCCTGTGGTGCAGATGGAAACAGCCTGCCCTCCCGCAGCCTGCTTCCTGGGGCTCTCTTCCTCCATGTTCTACTAGATGGTGACCACAGAAGACCTCCTTGGCTTTGTCCGAACTTGGAAAGAAAAACTGAGCCAGAGGATTCAGTACCTCAACTGCAGACTGGACAAGGTATCCGAGACTCAAGTAGTCTTTACTGTAAGGAATGGGATGGGGTGGGGGGGAATAGTGGGGGAGCTGTTTGGGCTGGGCTCCTAGGAGACCCACAGGGCTCAGCAGAGCCTAAGGGAAGAGAGGGCTCCCAGGCTCCTACTGGACATCCTGCCTACTGGGATGCCTTGGAAAGGCCACAGGCTGTGGAATCAGATCTGAGTTCATATCCCAGATGGGCCACTTCCCTGCATTGGTCTCTTAGGAGACCCCCTTACCTCTTGGCGTCACCTCCTCATCCCCATCAGGACCCTCAGCTCACCTTGCCCATCCGCAGCCTCACCTCTCAGCCTCTTCCTTCTCACCTGTACCCATGAGCAGCCACTGGCTTCTCCCCACCCCACCCCCACTGCTTCATCCAAGCTCACCCACTCCCCCATTCCCGTCTCTTGCCCACCTGGCTGCCCTTATCCTGTCACTTCTCCCCATGATCCATTCCCTGAGCTGCAGCCAGACCTAACATTGGAAAAAGCCAGTCTAACTGTGTCAGTCTCCTGCCCTCAGGGTAAAATCCAGGCCCTTTAATCGGACCTGTATGGCAGCCTCTGCGGTCTGCCCTCCATGGCCCCTTTATTTCTCTGCATCCCCATCAAGACATCACTTCTCCCTCGGCCTTCTCCCACCCCCTGGTCTGGTTAGAGCCTCCTGGTCCCCAGAGCACCTCCCCATGAGCCCACAGACCATACAGTAAGGTCTCCATTTTAGGGGCTGTCTCCCCTAGACCGTGTGCCCCAAGAGGCAGACTGTGCTACCCTCACCCCACACTCAGCCCCTCATACAAGGCTTTGGACACCAGAGGTGCTCAACCAACTTCTAGGGGGTGGTCATAGAGCCAAAGGCAGTGAAAGTGGCACCCCTCAAGTGCTGCTCTGGCCACTCTTCAGGCCCTGCCTCTCGCTGCCACATTTTGAACTGGCTCTTCTTTCTGTGGGGATGCTCTCCCCCTATGCTCCCAACACTAAGCCTCCATCGCACGACCAGATGGACACAAGAGTCCAGCCGGGGCCCTTGCCTCTTACAGTCCTCTGCTGAGATGAGACTCAGAATGAAATGAGGACCAGCCTAGCTGGGCACTACCTGTGGGCTCCACTCCAGCCCTGTTCTAAGGCCCAAGGGGCCTTGAGGGGGAGATGGCTGTTCCCTCATCCACACATTCATTCACTCATCCATTTGGTCAAAAACACTGCCTGGGCACATCTACCAGCCAGCCTTACAGGTCCATGACCCTCAGCCTCATAGAAGATGCTGGAACTTTTCCTTCACAGCACTTATCCAAATATTGACCAAACATTTATTTGTAGAAGTGCATATTAAGTGTCTGTCTCTCTGACTAGACGGTCAGCCGCATGAGGACAAAGGTCACATGTGGCCTCTTCAACCTGTGTCCCAGGACCCAGGCAGAGCCTTGCAGAGAGCAGACACTCAGGAAACATTTTTGAAGGCCAGCATGCACACATGAATGAATGAATGAATGAATGGCCCTCTAAGGTAGATATGATCATTGCCATTTTTCAGATGGGAAAATAGAGGGTGAAAGAAGTCAGGCAGCTGGCACCTGGGCATGGTGGTGCTGGAATGTGAACCTAGCCTGCCTGCCTCCCTGGCACCTAGGCTGGGTCCACACACTTGGGATCTTCTCTCTGGCCTGCAGGACAACATTTTGACTGACCTGGAGGTGGAGAGTGACATCCTGGTGTCTTCAGAAGCCCTTGAAGAGGAGGCCAGGGTAGACCTGGTCACCCCTGAGTCCTTCACCCAGCCGAGCCGCATGGGGAAGTCCATGATTGAAGACCCAGCTGTGGAGGTGATCAAGAAGATTCTGCAGTGAGTGGCACAATGGGGTGCACAGTGGGGCCCTGCCACCGTGGCCTATGGCCCTGAATCTTCAGGAACCCTCTTTGAGTTCCCATGTGAGCCCATCCTGACAGCCTGTGACCTTTCACAAGGGGCTTCTCCTCTCAGAGCCTCAGTGTCCTCCTGTGAAATGGGGCTCATAATAGGACAGACTCACATGATGTTGTGGGCTAACTGGGATGGTGCCCAGTGCCTGGCCTGAGCTGTCCTCGTGGTCACTGGGGAAAAGCTCACATCCTTTCCTTTGGTTTCAGATGTCCTGACTCAAAACGTTCAACCCAGCAGTGTGACAAAGTTCGGTCCCAGACAGGTACAGACACACAGGCCTGTGGGTCTCATGGCACCGGTGGTGGGGAAGCTGGTGGTGCCACCTGACCCATCCTCCCCTCCAATCCTCTGCTCTTGTCCTGGACAAGTGTCACCCAAAGGCTTGAAGCGACACTGGAACTGGGGAGAACATTCCGTGAAGGCCTTGTCCAGTGCCACCTCAGCAGGGAGGTAGGGATGCTGGGCTGCCCGGGATCTCCCCTTCCCAGACCCTACTCCCTCCCCCAAACAGAGGCCAGAGAACACCTTGTTGCTTTACCAGACTCTGTCCTCAGAATGCGCCGCTGTGCTCACAGCTCTGAGACTCCAAGGGACCCAGTGAGGGGCCGGCTCTGACGCTGGCTTTGGTCAGATCTGCTGGGTGACTCGGCTCCCCAGCCTCCACTGTGAGAGCCTGTCTGGAGTCCACTGGTTGTCCGTGTGACAGCTGGTGGATCCGAGCCCTGCTCCCTGCCCACATACATCGTCCTGGTCAGAAACAGGGCCATTGGAGGTGGTTTCCTTGGGTGGCAACACAGAGCTGCAGGAGGACCCCTGGGCCTCTGCGTGCTGACCATTGCTCTGCCCACTGTGCCCTGTTGCGGGCGTTAGACTCGTGGCTCAGTGAGCTTGGGCCCTGGCTGACCTCTGAGCATGATGTTACAGAAGGTGGATGACAAGCCACATGGCTGAACGGACTTGCTGGGTCCTCTGTGGGCCCTTGGTGACATGGTTTAATTCCTGGTTTTGAGGAAGTAGTAGTGAGGAAATTCCTGCTTTGTGCACCTCCAGAAGGTCTTTTTGAACACAAAGCCATACATCTGCAGTGTGGAAATAACAACACCAACCAAATGAGAAAAGCAAAGGCTGTTTATTCAGAGCTCGCTACAGCAAGGGAGTCAGCCACCATCACTTGCATTTTAGCAGAGACTCAAAAGCAGGCAGAAGAGTGGGAAAGCTGTACAGTGGAGAAAAGAGAAGGCTTCAGGTGTGCCCTGAGTGGAGGCTGTTGGCGTGGGGAGGCTGGAGGCAGGCCAGCCAGCAGGGGGCTCCTATGTGATTGTGTAGGGTACGTATTTGGCCTTCTCTGGCTGGTCCTAAGTTGGAAGCAGGGACAAAATTTAGGGAAGCTGTCAGTTCTTAATCAAGTCTTGGCCATTTGGTGCCAATTGTTACAGGAGTTATTGTTTAGCTTTCTGGACTGTCACTAGCGATGACAGTCTGGCTTCCAGCAGGCTGGCTTCCCAAGTTGTTTGCTGCAATCAGGAGTTCGTTTCCTGGGCAGGTTGCTGCAGGCTGTGGGTCAGAGTTCTATATTTATCTGTGGTCCAGCCATTGTCCATTTGCAGATTCAGTCTCTCAGCAGTCACAAAATGATGTCCATGTTGCTAGGGCTGCTGGATAAAAATTTAGGATGCCCAGTTAAATGTGAATTTCAGGTAAACAACACATAATAGTTTTAGTGTAAGTGTGTCCCAAATATTGCATGAGATGTACTTAAGACTAAAAATTACTCGTTGCTTATGAAATTCAAGTTTAACTGGGCGTGTTGTATTTTTATTTGAAAAGCTGGCAACCCTACAGGTGGCTCGCCATGTTTTTCTTTGGGTCCTCACCACAGGGAAGCAAGGGGACAGATTTCTGGCCCCTTGCCAGCTCTCAGCGGCCTTGGGTAGGTTTTAGTGGTAAAGGCTTCATCCCACAGTAAGGTTGTCTTCCAGGCTGTTGAGGAGTAGGGAGGCACCTCGAAGGGCTCAGCCCCAGACACAGGAGTCAGGTTGCCCCATAGCAGGCCCAGCGCCTCTAGCAACCCAAATGGGGCTCCCACGGGCTCAGCCCTGCCTGTGTCTGTCCCCAGCCTCCAGAACACTGACCCACCTTTGTCCCACGGCATCACTCGGTACTCCAAGCCCAACCGAACAGACAGAAAGTACCAGGTGCTCGGGGACAAGCCACCTCCTCCTGCTGAGTAAGTGACAATGCTTTTTTCCTTTAACTCCATTTAACCTGTTGTCTCCGTCAGGGGGTGGCTAAACCTTACTCAGCTGAGGGGAAAATAAGAAGTGGAGGGCAGAAAAGGAGGGGTCGGGAGGGGACAGGTAAAGGTCAAAGTCAGTTTGTCTTAACCCATTTCACCTAAATTTGTTGAGAGACATTTTCGCCAAAATTTTTCGTTTTCTGAGCTAGGCGTTTTGTGGTAGCAGGGCAGCGTACCGCTTTTGAGCTTTGGAGTTTTTTTGCAATATTTTTAATGCTTTCCCCTTCCCCATTCCTTTTTTCCTTTATTTTAATTTCAGTGATTAAAACAAAATCTATTCCCTTTAATATGGCTACATTTCAACAAACAAGTGAAATTCCAACTTCAGAAAATTGAAAGCACTCAGAGAAAGTTGAGATCTACAGTGGATCCCCCTACCCTTAAACAGGAGACCCATACCCGCAGCACCCCTGCTCATCAGTCATTTTGTCCCACAGCTCTTATCTCTGGGGTTTTGTGAACTGTGCCAAGAAGGGTGGCTTTTACATCAGGCGGCCCAGAAGCTGCATATGTAAGTCAGCAGATAGACATTCCCTCATCCCACACTCCAAAGACATTCTTCATCATTAAAACCTTGACTCTCTCTCCATTTTTTATAGTTCTGTCCTTTTATTACAAGTGTAGATTTGTGTAACCACCACCACAATCAAGAGACAGAACTGTTCCCTCACCATCAAGACCTCCCCTTTTTAGCAACACCCACCCCCTCTTCCTCACCATCCCTAACCCTGAGCAACCACTAACCTGTTTTCCATCCCTATAATTCTGTCACTTCAAGAATGTCACATAAATGGCCTCATACCGTATATGACCTTTTCAGAGTAGCTTTTTGCACTCAACATGATGCCCCTGAGAGCCATCCAAGTTGTCCCATGTATCAATAGTTCATTCTTTTGTTTGGCTGAATAGTAATCCATGGTGTCAAGGCACCACAGTTTTTTATGATTAAAAAAAAAAATCATAGGCTAAACTGAAAAAAAAATTGAGCATGTATTAAATCTCTGAAAAGGGGGAGACTTTCCTGGCATAGCACAGTGGTTATTGCCCAGGAAATAGAATCAGACCAATCATGTTTTTACCCCCACATGGAATCTGGCTACGTGACTTCTCCCCAAGCCTCAGTCTTCCCCTCTGCACAGTGGGGAGAAGAGATCCCTCCTCTTAGAGCTGCAGACAGGAGCCAGCAAGTCACCCGCTGGCCTCCCTTGTGCAATACAGGATTGTCACACAACGAAACACTGGATGAAATCACAATGGAAAAGGTGGAAAATTTTGGCAAATAATTTTTTTCTTTCTTTTTTTTTTGGTGAGGAAGATTAGTCCTGAGCTAACATCTGTTGCCAATCCTCCTCTTTTTGCTGAGGAAGATTGGCACTGGGCTAACATCCTGTGCCCATCTTCTTCTACTTTATATGTTGGATGCCACCTCAGCATCGCTTGATGAGCGGTGCGTAGGTCCTCGCCCAGGATCCAAACCCATGAACCCCGGGCTGCCGAAGCAGAGCACACGAATTTAATCACTATGCCACCAGGCCAGCCCCGGCAAATAAATTTTTAAACTCCTCTGAGTTAAAATGCAATTAAAAGTTAGATAACAACCAGCCAGGAAACAGTGGTGGTAAATAGGCCAACAAATGAAAAGGCCTTTAAAAACAGGCTGCCTCCCTTCTACCCCCCAGCAAATTGCTAAGAAAACCCTGAGAACTCAGTGCGGCAAGAAAAGAGGGGAGAATTTGAAGAGATCACGCCCAAAGGAGGAAATGAAATTAGAACAAACACGTGGAGAAAACACTCTCACTAGAATGCAAAGAAATGAAAGTGGAACAGGTCCGTTCCATATTTTGCCTGAGATTCACCAATATATAAATAGATTTTAGTGGAAGTTCCCAGTTTATCAAGGAGGGTGAAGGTGGCCCCTCCCAGGCACTGCAGCTGGGAGGTGTTAATGAAAAAATTCTTCTGACACTTGTTAAACCAGTGAGGAAGACTTGATGTGGGACTGTTGCAGTAGGTGCCAGGACTGTCACAATAGGGGAGAGAGATGGGGCTCAACTCTAAATACAATAAGGACAAGTGGGGGTTTATAGCCAACGTGCAGAGTGAGGGGGTCAGTGGATGGGAAATTCAAGGGTTGTGGAATTCTCACTGCAGGCAGGCCAGCGTGATCAGGTATCAGGGGTGGAGGATCATCTCTAAACTGACTTAGCAGGATTCTTGCTAAAACAGGACCCAGCAGGGCAAAGACTGTGCCCAAGGAAGAGGCCTAGTCAAAAAGTGGGCTCAGAGGAGCCCGTCTAAAGTTGGTCAAGGAGAGAGTGTCTGTCAGTCCCTCCTCTTGTTCAAGGAAAGAAGAGACAGTCATCTTTCCTTTGGACAATATAAATTCATTTCCCCTTCAGTCACCTTTTGTTCATTAAGGACCAGCTGAACCATCTGTTGAGACCTGGTAGCAGAAGAGCCAGACAAGAAGATTTCTAGATGTCAGGGCTGAAGCATCCTGAGTGGCCCACACAGCAGCCGCTGCAAGCATTAAGGTTGCCCTTCGGCCAGCTTCAGGTTGCAGGCTCCTTTAGATCCTGCGGGGAAAGCCAGCCACAAAACAGCCTAATGTCCCAATAAGGATCTAGACAGTCAGGTTTTAGTTCTCAGTGGAATCAAGTCAGGAGGATGGGAGAAAAATTGGAAATGTTAATTTGAAGAGTTTAGCCAGATATTGAAGGAAACTAGAAGAACTGAGAATTTGGTAAGGACTGACAAAATGTGCAAGATGGCAAGATCCAGTCCAATTTATAGGTAGGTAACAAAACCTCAAAGAGATTGAATAGGGGTAGACTCTACGAACCCACAGGAGTGTGCTCTGGTTTTCCATTGAAACATAAAATTTTTATCCCCCTTTCTTTTTGATTCTTGTTTACAAAGTAAGTCTGGTCTCATTAGATTTGGCCTGATTATTTATGTAAGTGCAGCAAGAATGGTAATTGACCACATAGACCTTTTTAAGTTTGTGTTGCTGGAACTTTTCATAAGGAATCTCAGATTGGACTTTTAAAAGCCTCTTGAGGCTGGAGAGCCAAGCCAGATTGGCCTGCAGTACCTATGGATTTGGGTGAGTCCCTCTCTTCTTGAGGTCTCCACGATATCCTAAGGTTCCTGGGGCTCCCAGGAAGTGGCCTTCCTTACTCACCTATAAAGCTGAGAACCCTGTAAGCCAGGTGCTAGACTGGTTTTTCCCAAGACGGCTTGGTAAGCATTGGCTCCATCAGGTCAACCTGAGTTCCTTAAAACTGTTTGGTCATATCTGATTCTGTGCATCATTCTCCTTATGACATTCCAGTCAAAGCCTTGGTTATATATCAACGTTTGCAATTATGTCCCATTCCAAAGAAGACAGATTCTTATTTAACTCATGTAAATAATTATATTGCCATGAAAATAAGTATACTCAATAAGAGTTTTTGAATTCTGGAGTGCATATGAGTGGAGAAAACTTCCAGCCTGTTTCCAATTAGCCCTTTTTCCTTTTCAGCCTCAAGCAGTTGCTTTCGGCGGTTCCGCAGTTCCTTGAGGCCTGGATAGGGACAGGAGGCCTAAAGTTCAAGTGACTGTAGGGAGTTGAAGGCTGGAGTGGGAAGGGAAAGGTCGGGCAAGGGTGGACAGAGGGTTGAAGAGTAGGACTTTGAAGAGGGACACATCAGAGGATACAAGGAAACTGAAGGCTAGATCGAATGTGGTAAAAGGAGGAAGGAGCAGAGGTGATGGGAAGGGAGGGGTCTTAGATGAGCCAGTTTTCCAAAGAAACCAATGAGGTTTCAAATTATCCTTAGTAAAATCACGCCAGTGGCCTGAATCCCACAGTGGAATATCGTTGGGAAGGTATAGTGAAAGTGTACAAAGGAGCCATCTAATGTTTGGTCAAGGAGACAGTTTTTGTCAAGGTCAACAGCAAACTATCTTTCCAGAAAGCATTTGGGGAGGTTTAGTGAAAGCCATAAAATTATGCCTTTGTGCGACTCCTTAGGTCTTTCTCCCAAGGAAATCATCCTATCAAGAAGAAAAAACTTACACGAAAATATACCTTGCAATACTTTTTATCCTAGTTAAAAATGGGAAAAAACCTGAAGGTCCAGAAATAGGGGACTGTAAACCATGGTACATACATACCCACCGATGTCACACAGCCATTTAAAATGATGCCGTGATGTGGGGACACTTAGAAGTGAGCAGAATGTGCAACACACATGAACCTAATTCCAAACTGATTTTAAAATCAGCCCAAGGAAAGACAATAAAATGTTGGCATTCATTTTTCCTTCTTGTTTTTCAGTATATTTCTAATTTTCTTTAATTATAATGAATGAATTTTAAAGTGAAAGATCAAGTGACCTATATACATATATTTAGAAATTGGCCAACAATGATGTGTGTGTACAACAGTCACTGTGTCACTTTACAGACATCATGATACATCAAGCGTCCTCAGCTGCATGCAGTTCTAATACATCTGTCCCTTATTTCACTCTTACTATTGAGATGGTTGACCTAACTGGACAGAAATGTTCGCTGGATCTGTGCAAATTTGTTTAATAAAGCCCCAGTGTGCGTGCAGTCAGCCTGAAGGCCAGAGGTACCAGAGGGAGGATATTTGGTCCTACAGGAAGTCTTGCTCATTTGATTGATATGTATGAGAAATCATTCTTTCTTCTTTCCACCAGTACTGAGCACTGATTGATGCAGGCACTGCGCTGGGGCTGGGGATTCCAGAGGGAACAAAAGCAGATGCCCACAGTCCGTGTCCTAGTGGACTTGACCATTTGCTGTGAGAGATGGAGATTAATCAGCCAGTCACACAAATCAATCCCAAGTCCCCCTGTGGGGAGTGCTGTAGGGCTGAGGGCCACTCTGACAGCATTGGAACAATGTGGGATCTGAGGAAGAGCAGGAACAAAGATGACCAAGAGGAAAGTTTGCAGTGTTCTCTGGAGAGAAATCAGTGTGTGCAAAGGTCCTGGGGCAGGAGTGAGTAATTACAAGGAGTGATGAGGCCAAAAGAGAATAGAGATGCTTGGAAGGGGCCAAATCCAGCTTGTCACATACAAGAGGCATTAAACTCAACAAATAGAATTAGGTGGGAACATGCTTGGGCATCACATGAACCATCCAACTCCAATTCTGGCTGGGCTGCTGAGTCCTTGGAATATGCTATTTGGTTTTGTCCACACCATTTGGTGTGATTAGACAAGGCCCCTCAGGGATCTGTCTCCTGTGTGTTGCAGGGATTTTAAAGGAATCATCCTGACCCTCCTCTGGGAGAGCAATGAGCATCTGCTGACCGTCGTGGAGGTGAGGGCTGCTGCCCACAGGCCTTCACCTGCTGCTCTGCCAGGCACTGGCCACATGTCCCAAGCTGCCTCTGCCTCCTGCATTCTGCTGATAGTGGCCTCGTGGGTGAAACTCAGGAAAGGGGATTCCAGCCCCCATGACCATGGCCACCCAGCTAAACCTCATTCTCATTCATTCATTTATTCAGCCACCAAACATTTTTTGGACACTGTCAGATACTGGGGGACATACTGGGCAAGAGGAACAAGCCCCATCTCTGTCCCTGAGAGGCCAGTGCCCAGCAGGGGGGCGAGATATGGCAGCACCACAGGGAGACAGGTGGGGCTGTGGGAGCAGGCACCTGGGGTGCCTCCAACAGGAGCACCCCGGAGCCCTGATCCAGCACACCCGCACAGGAACATCTGTGTGTTTTCCTGTCTGCAGCCCACTGGGCTGTGAGCCCTTCAGAGCAGGGGCTCTGGGCCATCCATATTTGGGGCCCACAGCCTAGTACCCAGCTGGGCACTTCATAGAAAGCTCTCAACCTGGTCGCTGAAGTGAGATTCCGTTTTGGTCTTGAAGGATAAGTGGAATTCTGCCATTCACTCACTTGTGCCTCACTTAGCCCTGGAATGCTGACAGTGGTGTAAAGGACAGATGGGTGGGAAGGCCGTTGCTGGCATAGGGGACGTCAGGAGAGCAGGGCGGAGGGTGTCAGTGCACGGGCCACAGTCCCATGGTGAGGGTCCCCACACACACCATCAACCCTCTCTGGCAGGAGTTTTACCGCAAAGAGAAGCGCCCAGTCACCAGGCCCGACTGCATGTACGAAACATTTGACCAGTGCGCGGAGAATATCAGCAAGAAGATCCTGGAGCACCAGGGCCAGACAGACGAGTACCACAACTCCTGCCTCATAGGTGGGTGCGGGCGGCGGGCGGGCAGGCAGGTCGAGGGTGCGGCAGGAAGCCGCGGATTGAGCTAAGCCTGGGCCTCGCGGCCTGGGTGATGCCCTCCTGGCCTGGAGTCACTGGGGAGGCAGCGGAGCCTCCCTGGGAGAAGCCAGCATCTTAGAATGGGGTAAAAACTTGGACCAGATTTAACTGGGGAGAAACAAAAATGTCAACAAAAAGCTGACTTTTCTTGAGAAAGATGGTGATTTGTATCACTAAAAATGTTTTTTTCATTGCACAGGTATTTTTTATAGCTTTGTTGAGATATTCACATACCATACAATTCTCCCATGTAAAGTGTACAATTCAGTGGATTTGAGTATATTCAGAGAGTTGTGCATCCATCACCACTGTTGATTTTAGGACCCCTGTCCCTCCATCACTTCTCTAGCCCTAAGCAACCTCTAATCTACTTTCTGTCTCTATAGATTTTCCTATTCTGGGCTTTCATATGAATGGAATCATATAGTGTGTTGTCTTTTGTGACGGGCTTCTTTCATTTTGCATAGTGTTTTCAAAGTTCATCCACGTTGTAGTGTGGATGAATACTTCATTCCTTTTTATGGCTGAATCATCTTCCATTGTTTGCATGTACCACATTTTGTTTAGCTGTTCATTCATGGGTATAAGAGGAAGAGGATTAGGGGATAGCCAGACCTGGGCCCAGGACCCAGCACTGTCATCTCCCAGCCATATGACCTTCACCAAGTCACCTCACCTCTGTGAGCCTCAGGTTCCTTGTCTGTAAACTGGAGATGGAGACAGTACCCACCGTGCAAGGCTTTTTAGTGGAGTGAGCCCTCCTGTGGGCCTGCCATACACAGGGAGAGTAATCAGCGGCTCTCATTGCTGTGGCTGTGGAACGACTGGAACTGCGAGCTCGGACAGCGTTTTGGTTCTGTAGCTCAGAATCTCCCCCCGTGAACTCTGCGGGATCCCGTCCTATAAGATCCTCCTCGAAAGAAAGGTTCCATGCTCAGATGGAGTTGGGAAATGCTGCAGATTGTATCCCTCTCTGGAATGTTCACAGTTCATGTTAGATGGAGACTTCCATTTCCTACAGTTTGGGAGTCCAGTATCCTGACCAACTCTTCCACTGGAAACATGTAAAGATGCTGGATATAATTATTTTTGTGATGAACTCTTTTAAATGCATTGATGAGCTAGCTGTAAATTAACAAACACACAAGGCCCCCAAATTAAGTGAAAATAGGTACTTGGAGAAATAAATTGAGTGGTAACTCTGGCTCTTAACCTAAGGGCTTTGCTAACTCCCAGGTGAACTTGAGCCTCTGTTTTCATGGCCTCCAGGGCATTGGGAACAAGAGACAAAGCTCCAGACCACCCAAGGGCGGAAGTCTGAAAGGACACAAGCCACATAAAACTGGGCCTCCACAGGGCTCCATCTGCGGATTAAGGTGAATGAGACAGAGACCAAGCCCCCACCCCCACACCCGCCAGTGATGAGAAGGAAACTGTCTTATTAAAAGCCTTGGTATTGGGTAAAGAAGAAGAAAAAGTCCAATGAGAATCCCTAACTATAAGCCAACCTTTATGTGGGTTTTAAACCTGAAGTCACACTTAGATAAACCTGAATTCACCTTGTTTTTGTGGATCATCCAAAAGACCTCCAGCTGACACTTTGGCTTAAAATGATCTTGAGTTAGTTATGCCCAGATGCGTGTTTAGTAGAGACACTGCAAATTCTCTCTAGAAAAACCCATCTTCAATTCAGGCCTCCAAGGATTCCCACGAATAAAATGCCCAGAATAAGTGCTTCTAGTAAAAAACAACAAACAAAACACACACAAACACAAGGAAAAAAGACACCTTGAGCATGAGGCAGCAGAATGAGACCAGTAAATACTTCAGATATTGAACGAATGAGACCCAGAATATAAAATGCTGTATTTATTAGAGTTAAATAAAAGAGGAAATTGGAAACATGAGTGAGGAGCAAGGGACTATTAAAATCACCAAGTAGATATGAAAGAGAACCAAATAGAACTTCTATATTGGGAAAATAAATAGTTGAAATTTAACACTTATGAATGGCTTTACTACCAGATGATTCACAGCTGGAGGTGAAATCAATGAACTGGAAGGTGGATCCAAAAATATGCAAGATGCAACAGAGAAAAACAGAGATGAAAATATCAAGAGAGGTGAAGAGATATGGATGAAAGAGTGGGTCTAACACATAGCTCTTTAGAAGTCCAGAGGGAGAGGAAGGAGACTAGAGTCAAGGCAATGTTTGAAAAGATAATGGATGAGACAGAACTGCTGAAAGACACATGCATTTTAAAGGGGCTGAAAAGTCCTGCAGAGTATAGAAGACAAGTCCTTTGAACTTGTTTAATCTGGTATTTCCTATACTGGTTTGACCACGGGACCACTTTAGATGAAATAGCTATTAGCACCTTGTAGACCAAGTCTTTCTCTTTGGGAAACTGCTTTGGGCCTTTGTCGGAGAGATCACCACAGCAACGTGGCTCCACTCTGTCTTCTCCCCTGGGCCCCCACCCCCAATTCCTATAGAATTACGGGCCCAGATGAGGAGATTTGAGGAGCTGCTGCCCCAGGTGTGTTGGCTGGTGATGGAGAATTTCAAGGAGCACCACTGGAAAAGATTTTGCGACTCCATCAAAGAGATCCGGGGACAGTTCTGGGAACATCAGAAGCAGCTGGAGAAAAGGAAGGTGGGGCCCCCAGACCCCCGTCCTCTCCAGGACCAGGGGCCCTGGAAGTTCAGAAGTGGGAGCAGGGCATAGGGAGAACTGAGTCCCAGGGAAGGAGGTGGGCCAGGCTTGTGGTTATTGGATGGGAGCTGAGGGACAGAAGGCATTGGAGAAATGAGAACGGAGCCATCTGCTCCTTCATAGAAGGCATTCAGTCAACTCCTTGTTGGATTTAATGGGTGGGTCAGCTGGGTTCTGTGGGGCCGTGGTCATTGAGATGAACAATGATTGTCCACCTGGCCTTGGAGACGTGGGATGTGGGTGCTGTTGATTTTATTGGACTAAAGCCCTGATTGTGCTGGGGCAGATGCTCAGCTCGCCCTCTCCTAACCCTCAGAGTCGGCTCCAGTCAGGCCCCTCTCTTGCCTTCTCTGCCACTCCTCTGCCCATCCACGGCCCTTCACACACCCAGGTCAGAGCACACATCAGTCTGGCCATGGCCCTAATTAGCAGAGGATATCATAGGCCAGTGACTTTTTGGTCCTGAATTCAAGACCAGGTCAAAATCCACACTGATTTCTGGATTGTTTGATTAAAGGATGAAAATGCCCAGAAGCTTCATCCAAATCTCGGACACCCTGCACATGTCCAAGAAATGGAGTCTCTATGTCAGGGGGAAGAGGAAAGGCAGGAAGATTTGGACACCGTGATCACAACAGCCAGGGAGAAGCTGGAGGTCAGTGGCGCCATTGACCCCCACGTGCAGGTGCTGAGGGCTGCACTGCCCGCCAGGGAGATGCCCCCATTGACAGCCCACCAGCAGCGCTGAGCACGCCCTCTGCCGGCACCCTGCCCAAAGCAGGGCAGGAAAGCAGACAGGCTTTATAGTGGAGATGGTCATTATTGGCTGTCTTAACTTGCAGTTTTTCATTTCTAAATGAATTGATTACAGAATTACTAATGAGAGCTTTTTTTTTAAGATCCACAGTGGTTTTATTTCGTCTTGAGTGAGTTGTCTAGGTGCATCCCTTGGCCATTTCTGAATCATTTCCTTCAGGCCAAGTTACCTCTTGGGAGAGGCCTCCGGCCGAGGACCAGATGCCAGTTAACTGGGACACAGTTGGCACACGGCTTTGGTCCTCTCTCCCCCGCTGGCTCCGCAGATCCTCCCTCAGCCTGCCTTTGGAGGCCGCTTCCTCCCCTTCCAGCACCAGGCTCCTCCTGTTTCCTCCAGGAGTTCACCAGGAAGTCCAGTCAGTTTTTCATTGCCAGCCTGGCCACCTTCACCGAGAAGTTCCTGCTGCAGTTGGATGAAGTGCTGACCATCGACGATGTCCAGGCTGCAAGTAAGTGGCACCAGTGGCCTTGTGCCCTGGCCCCAGGGGGTTGGTGAGGCACAGGGTGATGGGCCTGGGGGGGTCTGCTTTTCCCCAACTGCCCAATTCCACCGGAGTGAGAACAAATTCTCCATCGACGGGACTGATGAGTTCTTGTTTTCATTAATAGTAACTTTTTTTTTTTTTTAAGTGAAAAAGCAAATCCCAAATGGGTCAAAGATTATATGTAAAAAATGAACCTTATTACTACATGTTTTCATAATCGTGGGGGAGGGACAGCTTTCCCAATTATGAGATGAGAGCCAGAAGCCGTAAAGGAAACAGCTGGCGCTTCTCTGTGGCCAAAACAAAAACAAGGAAACGTGTCAAAAGATGGAGAGTCAAACCACAAACTGGAACAATATTCCTATTAACCTCTAGGTCAGAGAAAGGCCTAAGGTCCCTGTGGTACAGAGAACTCTAACAGGTCAGATTTGTAAAAGGAGACAGAGGACAAACACGTGCACGAAAGAGAAGCCGTGCACGTGGCCAGTAGATGTCAAAGATGCTCCACTTCACTGATGGTGGAAAAGGCGAAGGTAAACACTCAGATGTAGTTTTTCACCAACAGCCTTGCAAGGCTTCTAAGTTTAGTGACAAGCAGCACTGGTGAGGAGGCCCAAGCGCCACGGAGACCCTTGGAGAAGTGCCCATGATAGCGTCTCCTGGAGACCCCACTGTCAGGACCTGTCAGGATCCTGAGTGTGTGCACCTCTGACCTGGGTTCTAACCTAGAGTGTATCAGACAGAAATACCTGCACCATTTTTCACAGGTCGATTTTCAAGCATATTCACAGCACTGTTGGAAGTGGCAAAGAATTGGAAACAACTGTAATATCCATGTGTTGGGGATTGGATAAATAGATTATGGTCCAGGGGTACAGGTGAACACTGCGCAGCTGTTGAAGTGGGAGAAGTAGGTCCACATGTGCCAACATGGAGAGGCGTGAGGGAATACCACTACGTGAAGAAACAAGTCCATAGTCAGTGCTTATCCATGACAGCATTGTTTTAAAACCCATGTATAAACATGTGTACTCACATATATGTAAATGAATCTGTGTGAGAGACAGACAGAGAGAGACAGAGAGAATGAGAGAGACAGAGCCTGAGAGACAGGGACCAGACTTGACGATGCTCCCCTCTGGTGGGTGGGACTGTGAGAGATTCTAAAATCTTTTCTTTTCCCCTGGTAGGTGATGTTTAAACTTTTTATAATGTGCACATTACTTTTAAAACTATACAAAGATTCAAATCATATATTAAATGTTATCCATTTGTCACTGTTCTATTAAGCAATTAAAATATATTAATTTTGTTTTTAAAAGTTTTTATTACAAGGCAATAAATATTTATTATAGTAAAACAAGAAATTCAATATAAATTATGAAGAAAGTGAGGAACACAGTTCTTCTACCCAGAAATAAGTGCCCTTAGCATTTACTGTCCATCCTCCCAGTCCGTTCGCTTTGGACTCAGGGCCGTGTGTGTCTGAGGGGGCAGTTATAGAGCGTGTGCTCTTTTATAACCTGATTTACCCCTGGGTGGACGTTGGCCACACCAGTCCATCATCCTCTTGAGGATTTTCAGTTACTGGGCACCGTGATTTACTAAGCATTGTAATTTGCTAATTAGTCCCCTGCTGTTGAGTGTTGGGCCATTTCCAGTTTTTCTCTCCTGTGATTGTGCTGAAGGGAACCTCTGCATCCACATGTCTCTGTTTTGGGGCGACAGACTCCTAGAAGTGGACTTTCTGGGTCAAAACGTGTATGCGTTTTGAGGTTCTGCTGACTTTCCAAGGTTGGAGGTCTCTGTCAAATGTGAGCCTTGTTTGGGAAAGTGGGGTCCACGGAGACACTGGGGTTGAGACTCGAGGGAGAACAGGCAGAGGAGCGGGCGGGGGAGGCAATCTCAGTATCTTGGAGGGAACCGCCGAGCCGGGAAGACCCCCTGCACCAGGCCCAAGGAGGCGTCTCCTGCTCTATAACCTGGGCTTCTGAGCCAAGCAGCCTGGCCCTGCCGTCCACGCAGACCAGGTGCAGGGCAGGGCCACTCCTGCGTGCTCGCTCGCTGCCCGGATGGAGCCCAGTCACATCGAAGGACAGGCCAGCGAGCTGCGCGTCAGAGGGACAGCCTCGAATGTGTTCGTTCCAGGGGTAATTAGTTCAGAACCCATTGGAGCTGGAATAAGCCAAAGAAGCCTCCACAAAGCGTATTCGGGGGCTCATGGAAGCTGTGAGGTGAGAGCACGATGCTTTGGGCTTTGGCGCTGGGAACAGCACCCAAACCACACCTCACATCCTCCAGCAATGACCCCCTGCCCCCGCACTGCCCCCAGCCCACACATCTGGTGCGTGCCGCTTCTCTGCATGGGGGATGGGGCCCTGCCTCCCAGTGGAGACTCCAAGTGGAGATTAGGGGAGCGAGCCCTCATTTCTCACAACATAAGGTCAGGGGGAGGTCCCCTTGATCTCAGGCTGCGGATGAGGCCACGGTCAGTAACCTGTCTCTTGCCTGCCAGGGATGGAGCCCCTCAGACAGAAAACGTCAATCCTCATCCGGAGGAAACTCGCCGGGCTCTCCCTGGAGGAAGAGAGTGAGAAGCCCCTGATTGAACGGGGGAGCAGGTGCGAGCCGGGAGCAGCGAGGAAGACCGTGAATGGCTGTATTTGCTGGGGGCTGTGCAGTGCAATGGTTATGGGCACGGGCTCTGAACTCAGACAGACCTGGGGACCTTGGAAAGGCATGATGTTCTAAGCCTCAGTTTCCTCATCTGTGAAATGGGCATGGCTGCTTACCTCCCATGGTGTTATGAAGAGAAAGTTAGATGACACTGTAGTTGGTGTGCCCCTGGCACAAAGAACTCAGCAAGCATCAGTGCACGTGGTGAGGACTCATGAAGGGGCCCACAAAGAAAGGGAGGCCTGTCCCAGTGTGGGGCACATTCTCAGGTCGCCGGTGGCACTGTGGACCACCAGCGTCCGTCACGTGTAAGGAGAGCCATCAAAGTGCCTGTCCCCTGTGCCCCAAGTGTGACTGG